TTAAATGAGAATTAGATGTGAACCTGGAAGGGGGTAAGATAAGAGAAAAAGCTCTAAGTAGTAGGTAGTCACAGCATGGTCTGTGGTTTGGCACAAGAAAAAAAGGAAAGAGAAAGTAAAAAAGGACAAATTCATTTTGAAAATAAATGAATAGAATAAATCATTATTTGGATGTAGATAGAAGGAAAAAGTGAGGGAGAATTCAGTGAGAACTAAGGAGCTGGTGAAAGAGCAAAAGTACTACCTAAGTTTGTGACATTCAGGAGTAGATAATTAGAACCAAGGGGGGAAAAAATAAATTTTGTTTGAATGGTTTTCTGCAATCTAGCATCTCAGTTCTGCTTTATAACCACATGTATAAATAGTATAAATAGGCTTTAAAGAGGTTTTATGCCACAGGATGACAAATATTCTCTTAAAGCAATACACCACCTTGAACAGGACTGAAAATTGTATCCTGGAAAACCATCTGAAGATGCTCCACTATTGAAACATCTGTGGGTATGCATATCTAGGCAACCAAAGTTACACTGATATACGATGAAGTAATGGACACTACATTTCCTTACTCATTTGTCTGGAAAGATCTACATGCAGTCCCTAATACAAAGTAGGAAGCTAAAAGTTGCTTTTCAAACACTGTCCTTTCTCAAGCAGAAATTAATTTCTAAGCAAGGATTTATCAACTTTTTTGATAGTAAAATCTTCCAGTTTTGCATGTCTGTAAAGAGAACATTTGAATAAGAATAATATAGGAGGGAATCTGGCAATACAGCCGGTTTTCTTCCACTTACTGACTGGAGAACAGAATTCACTGCTGTGTGAGTCAGGGGAAAAACTTCTCTAGGAGAAAACGTAATCTCATAGAACAGAAACTTTTTGTTTATTTTTTGTTCCAATGTTGCTAAAAAAAAGAAAAATCAAGATGAAATTTCAGATTTCAGCTAAGATTCTTCTTTTTTTATGTCAAGATTTTAAATCCTTCAAAATTGAAAGCAAGTTTCACATGAAGTAGATTTTTCGTGTTTCATCTCATGTAAATTAAGGTTCTTCCTATTTATTTTTGTAGGAAATAAATTTGGAAATAAACATTAAAGAGATTCAGTTGTCATACGCACCAGGGTGCAAGACAACTTCTTTGTTTGTATTTGTGTTTGTAAACAGGATAATTTTAGCCATTGATGATGCTGTAGTTAAAAGTGAATACTGCCAAGCCATAAGTACTGCTTTTAAAGAGACAGCCAAGTGTTATTGTTTTATTTGTTCTTATCATGTTCATACTAAAGAGAAATTTAGTCATAGACTAGACCTCCATCATGCTCATCATGGTCTGTGTTACATAAAAAAGGGGGGAGAAGGAGGAATAAATCTCTCTCTTTACAGGTATTATTTTATATACAGGTATAACTTCTATAGTGTGCACAAATACATTCAGCTGTTTTCTACCTGGAAAAATATTGCTTTGCCATCAAGCCTCCAGAAGTTCGTGACAGGATAGCCACTGTGTCCTCGGCAAGGAATCAGCTCGAGGGCAGAGTTACAGTTGGGACAGGCTTTCTCTGTGGACAGACAGAAACTGCTGAAGAGATTGGTTAAGGACAAGGATGCTACCTGAGAGCAAACAGAGCTCAAGAGCAACATGATCAGACTTGTCCAAAATTCAGATTAAAATGTTGTGTTCAAGGAAATGCAACATGGACTACCAAACATAGCGAAATGATACGAGCCAGAGCTGCCCACTAGTTATAAATGCCGGTAATTTAAAAGATTTAAATCCATATCCCCTTAAGTATTTGCAAACAGACATCGACGAAATTTGGAATTAACCACTCATTGCAATTATGCCTTAATCTACACGCGAGTAAGAGCGACTCGAGTTTGGAAACCAAGCCCAGGTGAAAGAAACGGGGTCCCTCACTTTGTTGCTTCTGCCGAGCCTTGTCGCATATGGCGGGGCGGAGCTGCAGCCTGGCCCCGCCGGGCAGGGAGCAGCTGCGGGCACACACCACCACGCCCAGGCAGGACTTCTTGAGGATCTGGCAGTTGTGGTTGTTGGTGTTGCGCATGGCCCAGCCGCTGAGGTGCCGCTGCGCGTTCTTCTCCTCGCTCGAGTAGATGAGCCGCACGTAGCCATCGGGCCACTCCTGGAAGGCATCGAAGTGCTTGGGCTCCTGCAGCGGGGCAGGTGGGGTGGCAGGGCAAGGCAGCAAGGAGAAGAGCGAGAAAACGTTATTGGCATAGTACAACCTGATATTTTGCCTTGTTGTAAAACACATGACGGGAAAAAAAGCTTTTTCTATAACCAGCCAAGCACCAGAAAAAGAAACAATGAAAGAAGAGCTTGTTCAGAAGTGCTCTCCAAAAGGGCTAGGGCAGTCTGAGATTCCATATCGGAAAAGAAAGTCAGGATCCTTTCCTCTTTTGCATCCTGATTCATTGCAGTACTTTCTGCTGACAATATGCCTTTTACAGTGAGGTTACCAGCTATAAGACATCAACCTTACTCCCAGAATTTACTGAGTAGTCTACTATCAATATGGCCAGACAGGACACAAGCCATCCTGATCATGACTGCTATTAAGTTCTTCTTGTTGTGGGACCATGCACCTGCAGGCAGAAAACTAGAAAATTTAGCTGCAGAATGGCTTCTTAAAGTAGAGATAAAAAGTAGAGATAAAAAAATTTGTCATTACAAATGTACTTCCAGTATATGTGTAGTGGCGCAAACAAAGAACTTTCATTTGGGATTTCGTGGCTTTCTGGAGTTCCTTATTCCAATATAGTTACACTGAACTACGAAAGAAGATTTTAAACTGCAAATATTTATAATACATATTTAACGTATGTATGTACCACATGTGAGAGCAATCCCAGCAAACAGAAGGAAACTACCAGCGTGTACAGCATTAAGACATAACAGCATGGGCTCTGTAAATTCAAACTCTAAGATGAAAAAAGTTGCAAAGTAAAAAACGCATTTGAAACTCACAACTAGACAAGAGTGGAGTGCTCATTGGCATTAAAGTGTTGCATCAATAAACCAAAGAAATAATTAGATAACTTGGATCATAGTAGTAAATTCAAACTCCTATTCAAGATTTCTTGAACAAGGAAGGGGGGAAGGAGGGAGAAGGAAAATGTCCAAATATCCAGCTAGGCCAAGTTATGTATCAAATCCATACTTTTATTACAAGTCACTGTATAAAGACTACAAAACCAAGAAAAAAAATTAAAAAGTGAGAAGGCGCAGGAGAAATAAAGCAGAAGTAAACCAAAGCTTTGATTAGAGTGAAGTTCGTTCCGCTATTCGCCAGCTCCGCGTTAGACCTGGAGGGAGACTTTCCCCAGTACCTCCCCGCCTCCCGTTACCTGCGGCAGCTTGGGGTCGTTGATGTCCCAGGTGAGCTTCATGGCGCAGAGTGGCCGTGGGTGGCGGCTCCCGCTTTTTTATGCTGTCGGGGCGTCGCTCTTAGCCGGTTTCGTAGGAGGGACAGAAGCTCCATCACCGAACCCCACCGAGGCCCCTGGCTGGGCAGGAGCTGCGCTCCCCCTCCACGCCACAGGCGAGTTTCGCTACCCTCACCTGAGTGTGTGTCGGGGACAGAAGCAGGGGCTGTGCACGAATCCGCCCCGAGCACTGGGGGCCGTCACCTGGGCAAATTTGAGCAGGTTTTGGAAGTCCAACCCGGCTGCCGTGGGGCTCTGCCGCTCGCTCCCGCGGGTGGCCGGGGTGATGCGGAGCTGGGGGACTCGTCTCTGCCCCACCGGGTCCTCCTGATCTTGGATTTTGTGCGTGGCTCGGAGCTGCCCGAAGCTTGTAAAGCCTCCGGAGGGAGGCAAAGATGCTGAATAACCCACTCTTTGGATGTAAACGAAATCGGCATTATTTGGCAGGTTTCCCCTTCGCGCTGTGCTCTATAGCACCAGGTTTAAAATGCAAAGCTGGTGTTGGTGCTATTGTATTGATAGGCACATCTTAACTTACTGAACAGTTACAAGATTTTTGTTACTTTTTCTTTTTCGAAAGAAATAGCTGATGAGATCTGAAGTTTGGAGGGGTTTTTTTGGTTGGTTTAGTTTTCGTGAGTTTGTTTTTCTTTGGTAGTTTTCTTGGGGGGGAGGGAGAATTATGAGAAGGAAGGAGGGAGATTAATTTTTGGTGTGAAAAATAGAAAGAGAAAAATTATCCACAACAGGATAGAGACCGAGCCGTTAAACTCCGAGAGCTGCTAGCACCCTTTAAACGATCCCACCTGTTCGCAATGATTTTTCTCATTCACTTCCATCCATCCTCTCTGGTACGAAATTTACTGAATTTTACCCTCAGCTGAGCACAATAAAGCCCACCCGGCAGCAGCTGGCTGTGGCACTCCTCGGCCGAGAGGAGCTCCCAGGAAGGCTCCGGGCTCCCCTTGGGTACCCCTGTTTTTGGCCGGGTGCTGCAGCTCCGGTGCCCGGCGGCGGGGAGCCCGTCCCGGGTGCGCACAGCTGCGGCTTCTTAGGGCGGGTGCAACCGGGCTGCTTTATCTCCTTTTTTTTTCCCTCCCGCTGCTGAGGTATAGAGCGAGGGTTTGCCGAGGAAAGGAGGGTCCTCGGAGCTGTGAGAAAGGCTGGTGAGGGTCTCCCTCCGCACTAAACGCGGGTGTGTCCAGCAGCGGGTCACGGTGTGAAGCAGCCCCTGCCCGTCTCCCCCTGTGCCATGGCCCAGGTGAGCGGCGCTCCCGGCAGCGGAGCGGGGAACACTCCGTGCTCCCTCCGGGAACATCCCACTGCTGCCAGAAACCTCGCGCTGCGAGGAGTGGGGGGGTTGTAGCTTAGGTGATAAGGAAGGAAAATCAGCGTTTAAGAGAGAGGGGGTTTTTTGGGAGTAAGCGCTCTTCAGCTTCAGGTCAGAAAAAGTGTTTGGGTTTGTTTTGGTTCGTTGGGTTTTTTTTGGGGGGGGGGGCGGGACGGGGAAAGAAAATTTATTTCTGTATTTTGTTTTTCTTTTATTTTTTAAGGAAGTAAAAAGTGAAGAACGAAATAGAGATGTGAGTGGCAATATGGCAGACAGAGCAGAAAACTATGTAAGGATCTTTTAATTGCATCCTTTTCTTTATCTTACTAATTGTTATTTGTACATATATTTATTTATTTAAAGGTGTATTCATTAAGTGCATATGGCGTGACCCAGAAGTTTTATTAATTTTATTTCATGTGCAGCAGTCCTCTGAATCTTTTCTTTAGTAAGTAGGACGAAATTATTGTAATAGTTGTGGGACTTACAAACTGGGTATACTAAGTTGCCTATTTCCTTACTCAGTATCTTTTAAGATTATTCAGTTTCAAGGATTCTGCCTCTTTTGGACGTTAAGACTGATGTTTCACTTCAGATGTGTAGTAAGATAAAAGTAGAGAAACAAATGATGTGAAACAAATAAAGTGGCAACTTTTAAAATAGCATTAGAAGTATTTTATCATAATTCGTGCTGCTACAATTTTAATGCCACTTGTTTCCTTCCCCTCCCTCTACAGCTCGAATCACTGCTCACTGATGCCTTTAAAGGGAAAGGATTTCAAAAAATACACGACCTGCTTCAAGAGAAGGAAGTAGAGCCTCCCCAGAAATACAGTGAATCTCTCTTTAACCAGCTGGACAAAGCACTGAGAAAGGCGAGGACCATAAATAATCTCAACTATCCTAACACCCAACTCGGAGACAGTAGCAGGCTAATGATGCACAGCACTCTGTGTTTCTGTAGGAGCTAGACAAGAATGACTTCAAGAATGTTTCACTGCTGCTGAAATGTATTCAGCTCTACCTTCAAAGTGATCTTCAAGAAGGGAAGAGCTTGTTTATTGAGCAAGGGCTGGTAGCAAAGATGAGTATAATACTGCATACAAGTTACTAATGTGATTTAAGGTTGTTTGCTTAACAAAAAGAACTCCAAGGAAGTGAAAACTAGAGGATGGCTTGTTGGCCACACAGAAACAAAATGTATTTTTAATATATTGTGTGAACTGAGTGGGGAAAAAATGCTTACTCTCTTTTATTGCTTTTGGTGTAGCAGCCAAATTTATGGTTCCCCTTATTGCCTGATTTAAAGGGTTGGATAATTTGGGGTTTGTTTTTTTTTTTTTTTAGCTAATAATGGAAGGAGAGGATGAATTTCTATGAGTCCCATTAGTGAAATGATATAGACTTTCTAAATGTATTTTAAATGCTCCAGCAAAACATAGTTTTAGTATTAGAATTAATGAGTAATTAGTGCTTCTATATTTTTAAAAACGGAGATATTCTTTATGAAGGTCCCTCTCTAGATACGTAGCAAACCAGATGCGTTTCATCTGTGATTGTGTTTTATCTTCTGGCACTATATTGATTTCAGCTGGTAATAGTTGTAGTAGCAGAAATGCAATTGTGCTGAAGATGAGTAACACCAGGATCTAACACAGCTACCAGGGAACAGCTAACACATGCTCTCTCTACTGAGGAGTCCTTGGTTCAAAATGTTGCATTCCTGCCTTGTAATTATGCTTTTCAGGGATACAGTTGCTGCAAATTCCTGTAAAGAGATAAATTAATAAGGTTTTTCCAGTCTGAGCTCTGTACTTCCAATGGAGCATAGATTTCTAGTTCGCCATTTGTATGTGATGTTATGCAATGTTTAAAACCATGAAGTATTAAAATATTTACCTTGAAAAAGCTTTAAAAAATTTACAGCATTTTGCTGGGAGTTGATGTCCTCTAGAAATGCCTATAGGAGTTTTGGTGCCACTAGTAGCATATATTGTGACTGAATATCAGGAGTGGGTGCTTTGGACAAGAAAGGAGGATAAAAGGAGGGCTAGAGAGGGAAGGGGATGATGGCACTTTTCATGTCCTCCTAGCAAAATTTGAACTCCTTAAAGCCATGTAGCTTTTGACACAGTACATGACTCTGCAGTTTAAAGAGTAAAAATCTCTGTAAGGTTTCCTACAGACATACATAGTTTAAGGATTATGAACTCCTCTTCCCAGTTTTTAACTAATTCTTTTAATTTTTACCTGGTATCTTGGTTTGAAAGAGCAAGAGCATTTGTGACTGTCATCGACCTAAATGAGGATAAATTTTTGATGTTACTGCTTGAAGACTTCTTTGATTCTGCATTGGTATGTTCATGCATTTAAGGGGACAGAAGGGTTGCTTTTATTGGATAAGATAGCTATTGCTCACAAAAAAAATTCCTGTTAGAAAATAAATAATTGTATGGTGCCTTAGGGCTGAATCTGGGACAAAGTCTGGGTGGTGTGGTTGGGCAGTGTCCAGGAGTGTGCTTCAGGCTGGGGTCTGGCTTAGACTTGACACACTTGGGAGAAGCATTTTCTCATTTTCAGATTTGAAGTATTTGTTCTTGTAGAAAAAATTGCAAGAAATTCTGATGCATTTTGTAAATAAAAGCTAGTGAGCCAAAGCTCTCCTTAAAACCCACAAGTTACTGACACTGAGCTGCACTTTGTGCAAATATATTTGCTAAGGTAGTCCTGGCAATTTGTTCCTACTCTGCTTGAAACAGATTATTTAATTCTAAAGAATGATCTAACTTGCTTACAACTCTCGTTTAGGTTTCAACTTTAAATATTCATGGTTTTAAGGGTGTTAGAGGCCTAATGATGTAATATTTGTAATAGGAAGGATGCTTTTTAGCTTTATTCCCCAAGCTATTACTTCCAGCCTTGTTGTCAGTAGCTTACTGGAAATGTCAACTTGTGCATTAGAATTCCTATCAATACTTATGGCTCTTTTCAAGAGTTCTGCTAAAAGATATTTGAGCAAAATCAAACTTCCTTCTTTCTCTACTAACCACTTTAAAATTATAATATACCAATTTATTTTCCCCAAAAAATTAGTTTATTTGACTTCTTGCTACATTTCTTCCACATGCTTTCACTGTGGAGGAAGAAGTGTTTTTTGTTGCAGAATTGTTTTTAATTTTTTTTCAAGCTTTTATTTTTAATTTTCCTCAAGGGACTTTAACACCCTTAGATTGTGGTATCTAGTACTGTAGTATATAAAGTGCTTTTGCATAGGCCCACGTGTAATAAAAATAAGAGAACGATGCCATGATGTGGGTTTTCCAGGGAACCTGTGGGCACTGTGCTGTCAAGTGCTGCTGAAATCCCTGGGGGAAGTGGGTGCTTGGCTACCTTTACCCTCCCTGCATATTGCCAACCTGTATGATCAGGGTGACCATATGTGCCATACCTGGATGAGGTGGCTTTTTCTGATGTGGGTGCACTACTGCCTTATGTTATTTAGCATCTGAAAGCTGGGGGGTGAGGAGGGTGTGTATAAGAAGCTTGGCACTTTGTGTACTGCTCTTCTTGGGTGGTGGTATGTTAATGAAGGCTTCTTTTACTCTTTCCATCAGGTGATTTGCAAATGCAGTAATGAAGGTCAGTAATTTTTTTCCTTCCGTTCCTCAATAGCCTGAATCTTAATCTTGGGAGCATATTTCTTAATTCTGCTTTAACTGTCTCCTTTCTCTTCAGCTTCCTACTTCTTCCGCTCTGCAGTTTTTTTTTTTTTAATTTTCCAGCTGATTTTTCTTCGTTTATGTTAGTTTTCATTAACATTTATATTGGAGCACAAAACATTTTTCTGTTTATCTTTGTTTTCTTGCTTTGTACATGCTGGAAAAAAATCTCAGGTATCTTTTTTAAATGGTCAGCATCAAGCATTTCACTTGATCAGAGTAAGTGGCTTCTGAAAGGAGCTCAGTCTAGACAGTCTGTTCTTGCACATCTGTTTGTTCTGGCACCTGATGTCATTCCCTTGCTGAAAGCCACCATCTCCACAGAATAATATGGTAACTCCTTCAGCCTTCTCAATTCGACAGAGGGATATCTGTCTGTTTCTCGTTTATTCCAGCAGCAAAATTGTTCTGTGGCTGCAGCTGGTTTTACATTAGGGCAGAGGGGAGAAGATGCTTTCAGCTAATATCTGTGTGACTAGACATCCAGGCTCACAATCCATGTAAAAACGAAACATTGCACTGTGGATGCAGTAACATGTTCTTATTTGTCCTTGCACCTTATTCTAACCTTATTCTAGCAGGAGCAGAGTGGCACAAGCATCTTTTGGTTAATACTTTATTGGTTTGCTTCGTTGACTTTGACGAATCCTGTATATTCAATTTTATCTTGTGGCTAGTAATTAGCTTCCCTTTTCTGTGCCTTTTTAAAAAATTACCCAGGTCAAAAGTTAGTGTATCTGGAGTTTGGTTTTTTTTTTTTTTTTTTTTTTTTTTTTTTTTTTTTTTTGGTGTTTTTTGTTTGTTTGTTTTTTTGGTTTTTTTTAGATGGAAGTTACCAGTCCCCCTTTCTGTCTAGGATTAGGTGTCTGGAAGCTTTGTCTTAAAATGAACTTACAGCTGGGATGTTTTTATTCCTTCAACACAACAAACTGTAGTTGCTTCAACTGTTTTTATATGGACAGCAGCCCATTTCTAGCTTTACCTTTCAAATTGTTTTTCTAGGGAAGAAAGAGATAGTGAATTTATTTTTGCCTGAACTAGGGCGCCTAGTGACAGAAGCAAACCTTGGCTGCGCTTTGCATCTGGAGGTAAGATTCTTACCGCGAGGAGAAAATTGGTTATATTTGTGTGAAAGTTTGTGTAATTAGATAAAAGATATGAAATGATGTTATTGATTTATTTCCCTTCGTTTTCTACCTCTTCTCTTGTGGGGGAAAAGGCCTTGAGGACCCTCAACTCTATACTTGACAGTCTGCCAAGGGAAGAGAGAAAGAAGTTTCCTCTCTCGGAGGAGATGTGCTCACTCACGTATGATTTTTCCCTCCAGTTTCTGTACCTAAATACTCTCTTCTCTGCATTATGAGTTAGTTGTTTGCGTTTTAACTTGTGGCATTATGTTGTTTCAGGAAAGACCTTGCAAAAACCATATTGGAGGTTGGTGGTAAGAAGTTCTTCAGCTTTACCTCATCTACTTATTTATTATAGATGAATTGTAATTTGAATTGCATTTCCTTGCCACGAGTTGATTTTTAGAGAGGAAAGCCAGATATGCTTTAACGAAATATAAATTTAAAAAGTTAAATGTAGCAATGCATTAGCTCTTTCTGGTTGGTATTAGTAATGCATATTGACTAATCAGACAAGCTAAACTGATTTATGTAGAAAAGTAATTGGATTGCCTTTATGCATGTGTTTACAACATATATTGGCTGTTGGTCTTAATAAAAATGAAATGTGAATTGCTTTGCCATGATGTGGACAAAATTTAGTTAACAAGGTTAATGGCCTCTTGAATGAAATATTTTTTGTTTTCTCCTAATAATAACACTTTGTAGAGTGTTGCCATGGTATATGGAATGTGGCCTAATCCTAGTGGGCTAGTGATGGTCTCTGCTCTCCTCCCCTTCCCGAACCCCAAGCACATCTCCGAGTGCACGTGTGTGTGCTGTGCTGTGCAGCACTCCCTACCTCAATCCCACTGAGCTGGGGGGGCTGAAGATGCCTGAGCCAACCCTTGTTCTCCAAGGGAAAACTGAGGCCAGAGGATGGATATGACTCTGGAGTACAAAACTGCAGGGGAAGCAATGCTATAACCCTCTGTTATGTTGGAGGGATGTTATTTAACCTGTGCTTGTGTTTACCTGGCAGATTATGACCTTCAGGTTGCCCTTTCAGAAGCACTTTGTAGGTTAATGATAAAAAAATGGAGGGATGACCTTGTTCACCACTGGTTTGAAGATAAGTATCTTGCTGAAGCTTTCAAAGAGATCAAGGATCGAGAATTTGAGACGGTGAGGGTCCTTATTTTGAAAACAACATACTTGGCAAGTCTGTATAGGGGCTAGTTTTGGTTGAGTTAAGCCAGAGTGTCCTTGCAAGAAGTTCCTACAAAACTGATTTTAAAAATACATGAAGTTGTTTGTGGATGGCATGTTTTACTTTTTTTTTTTCCTCCCCTATTAATATGGTAAATATTAAATGACATGTTGTTAAAATAGCTCTTACTTCTAAGTTATTTTAAATATAAAAAAGTAAAATAAAAAATAGAAATAATGTATAAATTAGTTGAATTGCAGGGTTTATGTTTGAATTCTTACTGGTCTCGAGTCCAACCTTTTGTAGTAAATTTGAGTGTTTCTTCCCAGAGGTGTCTCTGGTGTCCCACTGACTCGTTTGAAGATTTTAACTGCACAGTAGAGATTACAAAACAAATACTTATTCTACACAATAGAATAAGTATTTGCAAAAGAACAATTGCCTGCTTTTTGAAAAATAATGTGTAATTTGTCTTGAAGGACTGCAGAAAATTTCTTAACCTACTAAACGAAAGGCTTGGAGATAAAAGAAGGTAAGCTGGGAACCAACAGAATAAATTGTTGCCATCATTACTGCAGAGGGGAATAAATAGAATTTTAAGATGGGTTGACTTATATTAAAAAAAAATTTACATTGCATGTGAAGAATGAAGTTGTTTTTAAGAGGGAAATTGTATGCATTTTTATGGTGATTCTTTTGAAAGTAAAATAAAGATAATGCATCACTAGTAAAATACTGTAGTCTCTAGATTATCCAAGCTCAATTTACTTGTAGAAAATTTTAAATTATTCTTTTAACAATAAGATTGGTTACTAATCCTATTAAAAATAAAATAATTGAAGTCGGACTCTAATGTTGAATGTATCATGTGAAGTCTACTTCTCTTCCAGAGTCTTCTCATTTCCTTGCATATCTGCTTTTGCAGACATGAATGAGGTAATAGCCCTTAAAGCTCTCACACCTTCCCTACAGTGTTATGGCTGCTGAAATGTTGCTTTCTGTGGTACATGTTTGGGTTGGTTTTTTTTTTTGTTTGTTTGGTTTTTTTTGTTTGTTTGTTTGGTTGGTTGGTTGGTTTTTTTTTCTCCCCCCCGTCTCTTTTTCATTGAAGAGCTCGATTTCTTGGAGCATAGAGTATAACATTCTGTTCTAGCTGGAAAGTTTGCTTGTTTGTCACTTAGCTCCCAACTTAGTGCTGCTGACTTTGCTGTTGTATCAGTCATGGTGATGACAGAAGAGAGTTTGAAAAAGAAATAGGAGGACAGGACACCAGTGAGTCCTCTGGCAGAGCTGTTTCCAGACTGCCAGAAAACAAGATTAGCCTGATGGCCCTGGAGAAGAGTTGCAGATGCTGCAGTTTGCTTCACAGGTCTCCAACTGATTGAACTGTGGCACCATGCCTGACGGTCGTATTGAATCAAACCCATGTAGATGGCAGCTGGTTCCACTGCTTCTGATTATTTCATGTGCTCAGAAACGGCTTCCACAGCTGCTTCCCTGGCACAAACATGCAAGCATTTGTGCATTTTCTCTCCCTTGGCCAAAGTAGAGATACATCTGACATGGGTTGGGTGAGCAGTGGGCTGGCACCCCACAGGGTGATCTGAACTCTTGTTTCTGCAATATGTACAGATGTTTACATAGGGTAACACTTTCCAGTTTTGTCTCGTTAAAGAAAATTGTGAGTGATGCAGCAGCTGTGGGGCTTTTTGGGGAACAGCAGTGCCACTCTTCTTCCCCAGGTGAAGAAGCCATCAGATGAGAAACTGGAGGAGTTTTGGATTGACTTCAATGCTGGCAGCCAGAGTGTGACTTTCTATGTGGATTGTGATGAGGTAACAGCAAAGCCCAGGTGGCCTTGGGTTAGCCTAAGCCAGTGGGTACTCCCTCAGCCTTTCTGACACGATGGCTTTGGTTTTCAAAGGGAGCTCTTTGGGACTCTGTGAGACTGTCAAAAGAAAATGTCAACAGTTACAGTGTGAAGGGTAAGATTTTTCCAACATTATCCTGTTTGGCTGGAGGTCCATGACACATGCAGTAAACCTAAAATCTCACCATCACCAAGGTTTTCCTGTCTATTCTCCTTCCTCTCTGCCTTGTCCTTTGGCCATTCTGCACCAACTTTGTTTGTTGGACCATGTGTGAGCCCATTCTGCACAATAACCTCCTCTCCCTACCCAAGCAGGACAGCTTGGGGTGTCCTGGGGAACAGCATCACCAAGACTCAACAGGAAAGAAATGAGCAAACAGAGTAACTGGAAATGCAAGGGCAAGATATAAAAGACTGTTTTAAAAATCCCACTTACTCAGACTTCTTGGGTTAAGTGAAGAACATCTTGACCTAAAACAAATGTCATTGACTGTTTGGTTTGTTTGGTTTTTTTTACACAGAGAAGGATAGACAAAAGGTTGTTAAAATTTTGATGATGATACCCGCTGCTCTTAACAAGACAGAAGCAACAAAAGTCAAACTGGTTTTCAGTGCTGAGTTTGAAATATTAAGTGTACTTAGAAAAGTCCTGGGAGAGGAAAAACTGGTGGTAAGCTCTAATATGTGGGGTTTTTCCTTAACTGTATGTTACACTGGACAAAACCATTCAGGTTTGTGGGATTTGTTTTGTTGTTTGTTCTTTATTTTCTCTGTGCCTCTTTAATATATATTTGTCTTCCCACTGTGCATTTATGACAGTCTATATAGATTTTCTAGGCTTTGACCTGGAAGAGAAATTAAGTGTTTTAGGAAAGAAGTTTCAAGGTACTCAAATTTATGGCTTAAAAGCTGGAAGATTAAAATGATTTGTTTATTAATTCCTTGTGTTATAACTTTTCCTGAGTTTCTGAAGTAGAAAATAAAGCCCATGGCATTTAATTGCATAACTTTAAATATGAACATGCTCTTATATATGGCTTCGAGTGTTAGATCACACAGGATGAGCAAATTGTTACACAAAAACCTGGAGATGTGCTAAAAAAATGCAAATCTTAGACTGATTTTGTAGATAGGCATTCAAGACAAAGAATAGAGTACTTCTAAAACCTCGAGGTTTTTTATTAGCTTAAGTAAAAACATAAATTGTGTGTAATTTATTTTTTGCCCAAATGTTAATATAGTTAATTTCTGATTTGTAATTAATCTGGAGTCTGTAGTGTTTGCAGAAAAGCTTACATCAGAGTAAGTAACCGTAATACAGTGGCTGTTGTCTGTCCTTAAAGGAGCCAAGACCTTTCAAAATTATCAACTCAATTATCCACTGATAACTGATATCCAAAAATCCACTGATTTGTTGCTGGGAATTAGCAACTGTTAGTTATGTTATTAAGTAACTGACTTGACTAGGTAAAGACTACTCTTTTTAAGATCACTTTCACATGAGATTAATTCATACCAACAGATAATTGAGTCTGAAGATGAGACTATTCACACTGGGAAGGAAACTGTGCAGAATGAAGGAGGTGATTTTTTTTTTTTTTTTTAATTGTGCTGTTTGGTTAAATGTAAATATCTTTTTTCAAATTATCATTTTCACTTGTAGTCCACAGCTTACAGTTAACTTCACTTAAAGCAAAAAATAAAAAAGAAAAAGGAAGAAAAAACCCACAACAAAAAAACAAGCCATGCCCATGCTCAGTCTTCTGCTGCTCCTGCTTTGGGAGCTTGGTAACTCTGGTTGTGGCAGATGCTGTGTCCCTCTCGCCCAGGGAGTGAGGGCTGGGCACCATGGCCATGTGCTGCTGGAGTTGCACGGGCAGGGGAATGCTGATGGAGACAGGATCTGTGTGCTGGCAGGTGGCCTGGCAAGGCACATTTCAGCTGCTGGCTGACCTCTGATGTGCAGGGTGTGTGGAACTGTTTCTCCATGTGCAGGACCGTCCTGTCTTCCCCTCTGGCTTGGCTCATGCCTGGTTTCTGGCTTGGCTGTGCCATGTGGGTGCCTGCAGAAGGGAGTGGTGGCCTCTGGGCTCCTGGAAGCACAGGTTCTCTGCACAGGGCTTGCACCTCGGCACTTAACAAACTCTCCTCTGTGCCGTGGGGTGCATCTGGTGGGGCAACCTCTACCAAAGCTTCCTGCAGGGAGGAAACTTCTGTTTCTCTCAAACAAGGTGAGGTACCAGACAATTATGTGCTCCTGTCCCCAAGTGCAGTGGATGATGCCTTGGAGGTGCCTGGAGCTGTTGTGGAAGAGTAGCTGGGGGAGCAGGAGTACTCACCTGCAATCCCTGTTTGTGGGTAAAGGTGAGCAGCAGCCCAGCTCCCTTGCATGAGGTGACCTGCCACTGTAAATAGCTGGTGCTGCAGGGCTGTATCTGTGTGTGCCCCAGCCACAAGAGTAGCTGTCTGCCTTAGGACAGGACAGGTTCCCAGCTGCACCTGGAATAGCCTTTATTTCCTTATTCTCACCACCCTACAGCCAATGCTTTATGTAGAGCTTTGTCTTTCGTTGAACTGGGAATATTAAGTTTTCTGTCATCAAATGGTGGTGCTTCCTGTGCTGCCAGTGAACATCTCCTGCAAGGTGTATTCTTCCTGGATCATTTGGCAGAGTTTTATTATGTTCTAAATTAGGTGGTTGTTGAGGTGATTTGGAACCTGAAGTACAGATAGATGTGTCATTTCTGTGTCTGACTCAAAGGAAGATCTAAGCCCAGCACTTGCCAAGAAAAAGGGAAAGCAACTCCTTTCTTTCCTTCTTATGCTCTGAAATTCTTCTGTAAATCCCCACAAACTGTAGGTCGCAGCCTTAAGGAAAAGCTGCTTACAGCAAAAAGCAGGGGATCAAAATTGGTCTTAATCAGGAAACGTTTCCTCAGCTCGACTTTGGTATCAAATTTTTTGGAAGGTGTGGGTTTTTTTTCTGTATGATGATCTTCTAACTTTGAAGGCTGGGATTTGTCCTTGCTCTTAAACTGCCTGTATTTCAGGTTTTAGAGTGATAACTTTTTTTGTGGATCCTTTCTTGGTGTAAATTCTTGACAGATATTTCTGCATCTTCTAAGGCTGTGAAATCACAGCTCTTTCTGCTGCTACCACCATCTTGAAAAGAAGTCAGGTTTGAAGAGCTCTTAGGATATCTAGCATTCCTTCTGTTACAATGTTAAAGAAAAATTTTTATGTTCCTCTAAGTTCCTGCACATTTCAGATGTCTCTGGGTGAATACTTCCAAGAGTCACTTCCAGCTCTAAACGTCTTGGGCAGTAACTTCTTCGGCAGCCCTTCCCATTTTCTTCCAGTTACATCCTAAAATGCGAGTCCTGCAGCTTCTAGAGATGTAGATGAGCTAGGAGTTCCTTTGTTAGTGCCCAACTGTGGAGCACACAGGAGTGCAAGGTGGGCACTGCTACTTGAAGCAGTCAAGGAGTACAAAGGGCAGAAGGCAGGTAATCTGCAGTGAAACAAATTTTGCAGTACCTGGTAGAGATTCAGTGGAGGAAAACATAGATGGTGGAAGCTGCCCCTGCTTTAGTCAGACACAAAGGCTTGCTCCATGCCTTCCAGAGCTTAGGAGTCAACGTAGCAATACAAGTAGTAAGATGATAAACCTGCATATATTCATTTAGTATTGATGAGTTTGTGTTGTTTATTTAGCATTGCAATTCTTCACTGGGTACTTTGAAGATGCTTCTGATTGCTCTGTTAAATGTGAGCCTGAGATGTACCTGGAAGGTTGTACTGCTGCAATTTATGCATGCGTGTGTGGGAATGGTAAGAAGGGGTAGTGAGTGTGTCATTGCAGTAATTGAACATTCTCACCCTGGTTGCTGTTCTGCAGAAACACCTGTGCCCTCTAATGCACAGAGGAGGAAAAATCCTTCAGACTCTGGAAATGGGGAGACTCAAAAAGACAACTTAACCTCTCAGCACAGACAGCAGTTAACAGGCACTGTAGCAGTAAGTGTTTGGTGTATGATGGAACAGTCCTTGTGCCCCTTTTCCCTTCCTCCAGTCTGCTTTTTTTACAGATGTGGCTAAAACCTTCTTTCAAAGAATACTGCTTTGTATCTATTCAGCTCAAATACTTGTCTCCAGAGCTGCAATTTTGGCAAAATTGCTTAAAAAAAAATTACTTCATCTTGTAAGAGGACAGTGGGATGCTCTTAGTGAGAAACCCATGTTAACACTTACACACAGCTTAAAAAGTTTTTACATGCAGACAATGAAGGACCTGCCATGCAGCTCTTGCCACAGGCTATCGCTAAAAAATCTGTTTCTAAAACCCCGACTTTTCTATTGATCATATGCATCTTTTGTTTGTTTTCGTGTCTCCAAGCAGAAAATGGTCAACTCTGTTGCCATGGTTACAGTGAGCCAACAGACTGACCTGGAAGATGCTAACCAAGGTCAGGCATGGCTCCCTTCAGTACCTTAAGTCTGACCCACTTAAATGTCACCCAGGTGACATGCTGAGGGCTCTGCTCTTGTGAGTCTTACAGCAAAAGTAGATAAAGTTTCACAGTAGCTCCAGAGGGTAAAACTATAGTTTCTTTGCCTTCTTCAGAAAAAAACTCCAAAACTCCATCTCCAGCAATGAAAGCTAAGCCTAGGTGAGTGTCTTGCAGACAAAGTTGCAAAGTGAGTTTTTTGTGGGGTTTTGTGTGTGTTTGGGATTTTGTTTTTCTCCTGGGGTTTTAATGCATGCAATTTTGAGGTTATTCCATCAATTATTAAATAAAAGATTTTGTGCCACCTGGATATCAAGGCTGTTTGCCTGGAGTTACAGCACTTTGGAGTTGCTGAACAGTGATGTTTGGTTACTAAACTGCTTTGGTGTGACTTTTTTCTCTGCATGGATTTAGTCTAAATGCAAGGTGAGCCCACTGACCTGGGCTCACTGGGCTGATTTACAGAGTTAAACTTCAGCTGTGAAACTTGAGCTTGCCAAATGCACAATTGTTCGTAATGGGCATCATGACTTTGTGAAAGATGTGAATTTGAATTCGCCTTGGCTTGAACTCACCTTTTTCCCCCCCAAACCTTTGCAGGACAGAATTTCTTATAGTTAAGGAGCTGGACTTCTGTAGAGCTATTGATTACCTTTCTTCCCTGTGCATAAAACCATTGCTTTAGTGCTCATAGGTGCAAGTTTTCTTTTTTAGTTGTTTTATGTTTTTCCCCCTTAGTACTTCACAAACATTTTGGTCTTTAGATGAACAGCTCCCTCACGTGTCCTCTTGTCCCCAGTGAGAAGCCTCTAGAAGAACAACCTATGGATGAGTCACTACCAAAGGTATGTGTGCCTTGGAGGTCCCAGTGAGTGAAAAGATACAGGATGGGGAAGAGATTCTGATGGAGTTGCAGGAGAAAGCTGGGATGGATTGACCCGCTCGTACCATCGGGCTGTGTCCTGAGCCTGCAGAGTGTCACACCTGATGTGCTGTGCCACTTGGCACCAGGAGTGAGCTGCAGAGGCCACAGCTGCCACCCTCATTCTAGATGGGCCCAGCCAAGTGATTCAAGCTCACTGGAGTTTATTCAGATATGCAGCTCCAAAGCCATGTACTGTGCTTGTGTCCAAGAGTACAGTGCTGTGTGGGACATACTTGCACACTCTCCTCAAGAGGGAATGTTTGCTTCCTGAATGGAAGCAAGCCTTGGAAGCCTACAGATGTTTTTATTATTTATTATTAGTTTTGTATCTGAGCTCTAATAACTGTCCCAGGTAGGAACTTGCAACCTGGATAAATTACCAAGTAAGTAAAAGTAATCTGTAGTTGCACTTGGAAAGTTCTGTTGGTGTGTCCATGTATTAAAAAAAAAAAAAAAAGTCAGTGCACTATGTGAGAAGTTAAATTCCCAAAGCAGTATTTTTGTGCTTAGGTGCTTAAATAAGAAATCATATTTTAGACTTGTTCTTGGTTTTACGTTTCCAAGTGCTAGTTTCAGATTTTTTAAGATATTTTTAACTGTTCATTCAGCTGTTTTGTAACAGATGCCCACTGTACAGTGAATTCAAAGCTTTTGAACTACTTTCTCTCCTCCCACCCTCTTGACCCCCCCAGTTTCAGCTCTGTGAGTCCCATATTTTGTGATAGGAAAGTACCACAACCAACAATTGCACCTGGAGAATTGTTGTAGAGGGAGGAAGGAGGTTTCCTGGCACACCTTTTCCCTGCTTTTGGCAGGCTCTAGAATCACAACATGACTTTGGGTAGTGTTGTTTTAGATCCTGCAACTTTCTTCTTTTCCAAAGGATGCTGCCAGAAAGAAGAGAAACAGGAAAACAAGTTTGGCCAAGAAGAGGGCTGAAGGCAGGTATGACACACAAGCCCTGTGCCCATTCAGGAGCTGGTGTACCAAGTCATTTTATACCTTTTCTAGCACTCAGGGCTGAAGAGGGTCCCCATGGGGGGTGGTCTTGACTGTATCTCGAACAGGCAGTAAAACAAGTATGAGGCTATGAAGGGTCATAACTTGTCTCTATAGGGCCCAGTTGGGTCCCCAAAGTGATAAAGAACTCAGAGGCTAACTCTAGTCTGCCAAAAATGCCCTCTACCCCTGTGACACTATGTCATGGCATGTTGGCTTCTTCCTCGCCCAACCATAATCCTCCAGTGAGTTGGGCTCTGAGCATCAACTTCTTTCACAAACATTTAAGTTTTCTCCAATACTGTCCCAGTTCCTTGACATCATACGTCCTAGGGTTTCAGGGTGGTCTCTTTCTCAATTTGTCCCCTTCCCTCGCACCCACACATCTGTCTGCATTTAAGGCTGGGGGCACTGCAGGAACAAACACGTGAGTGTTTGGGGGCTGGATGCAGCCTGTGGCACTGCAAGTCTGCCTTGTTGAGCCCTCCTTCTGTGCTCTGCCAAGTGTCGTGTTCAAGTTCGTGCCTGCTGCTGAGCAGGATGGCAAATGAGCTGTGTGTGAAGATCTCTGCTTCCATGGGGGTCCTGCTTCAGTCTACTCTCTCTTACCTCAAAAGCCTTCCAAAACCCCAAGTGCTTAGATGAATTTTTCGACTAACTGTAGGTAAGAATAAGACAACTTGATGCAGGGCTTCATGAAGGTTTTTTATTTTGTGTGTTTTAAGACTATTAGATACAGCAGTGTAGAAGTTAGAGGTGAAGAACTTCTTAGCTTGGTCATTCTGCTCCCTCTAGTGTTTCGTCTGGAAATGAGTTTCCTTCCTTCAGGAAGCTTTGGCAAGGATCTCAATTCTTTAGTCTTCCCATTCTTTTAACATCTTAGTAAAAAGATGTATATTGAGCAATTGTAGGATTTTTCGGAAATAGTTACGATTTGGAGAAAGCCATAAAGGTACAGTTAAGTTTAAATGTTGGAAGACACGAAAACAAGATCTAGATGTATACAGAGAAGAGATTAGAGAACAAATATTAAATATTAGAACTTTCAAAAGGTAATTAAATGGAATTTTTAAAATGCTTCCAATATTATATTTCCACTCATTACTTCTTCCTACCATGTATTATTATGGGTGAGAACAAAATGTCCTCTACATAAACAGGGATACGTTAATTTCTGTTTTGAATATTTCTTAAAAGAGTTATTAAAAGAATGAGAATCAAGACACACAACAATAAGACTAAGTAGAAAAGAAATAAGTATTTTTAGGCATATAAGGTATCTGAGGAGAGTGGGCTCAGAAAGAAATCACATTGTCACCCCCTTATTCTTAATGAAATTCTATAGGGTGGTTCTTCACTATTGCATGTCACTGCTATATTTATGTTGTCTTGCAGAAAGGACCTCTATGACTTTGAAAACTCAGACTCCTCAAGTCATGAAAAGGTAAAGTTGAGACAAAAGCTCAGAACCAGATGGAGTAGTAACTTGAAACGGGATATAATTTGCTGCAGAAATGCCATAAGGATGGACACATTCTTACAGCAAGACAGACAACTGGGAATCTGAGTTTTTTTAATTTTGTTTTCTCTGTATGGTGAAAATGGAATTTTTTTGAGTGGTAAGAATGCTCAAAACTATGTGAATGTTGTGGTGGGTAATGCACGATAACACCAACAGATGTTTGAGCTGTTGCTTCAGTGAGGCCATGGGATGTCTCTGTGATTGAAGGCCAACCTCTGTTATACTGAATATCAAAAGCAGATTGCTGAGCATCTGCTTTGTCCTCCTAGGTTAAACAGAAGAGACTGAAATCCACTTCAAGCTGTGCTTTGCAAGCTGGGAAAACCTGGTTAAAACTCTGTCCTCACAAAACTTTTGTTGGAAATTCTGCTTGACTTACATTTGCAGACTCTCAAAAAAAAAAAAAAAAAAAGAGAAAAAATTGAGCATTTTGACTGCTTAGAAACTTTTCCCAGTGTGGGCTTTCCCAGGAAGCTGTGAACTTGCTCCTGATGGATTCCATCAAGGTGGCTGTGCTGGACAAACCTTTTGGCTTTCCACCTCTTCCCTGATGTGGGGGCTGCCACTGGCACTTGTGAATTGTGAGGCAATGGGTGATGAAGAGAATCCCCCAAGTTTCACCATATCATAAACTGGATATGGCTCGATCCTTGCTACTGCCACTGGGTGTCAGCATAAATCCCTGCTCCATGGCACCCTGCCCCAGCAGCCTGTTCCAGGGCTGTCCAGGGACACTGCACTGTGTTCACAGTGCTGCTGCCAGCACTGCTATCGAGTCAAATGACATGTCTTGTGGTGTTGGTGCTTAAAATGAACATTATTCACAAACCAAGGAAAAGAAAGAAACTCTGCTGAAGGCTCAAATGTTTGTCTATTATAATTTATGACGCTGTTTCAGTTAACAATTCCCATTCCATTAAAAAGTGGAATTTCTGAGCAGGACTTGTAATCTGTTTCCCTTCGGAATTCTGATATATTTTCAATATACAGAGTATTTTATGGGGCAACTGGACTCTAAGATAACTCTCTGCTTTTAGGTTGCTGAAGCCAAAGGAAAAGTTCTTGCCCAGAAAACTTCTTCACTAAGTCAGAGGTACAGGATTATACATTCAGTGTTTATGAACCTTTTGCTATATGAACAAGAGTTCATAGCTTTGGCTAAGATCCCTTAAGTTAGGATCTAAAAGACTGTGTGATTTTTCTAATAGAGTAATTCCTTGCTTAGCTACCACACAATCTGTGGATGTTATTGATACTAATATTTAAATTAGTACCTGAGAATCTAAACGTTACTGGAGAGAATAGTGACTCCTGTCATCTTTGACAATAATAAGATTTTAACTCTTAAACATCATCCTGTCCTGACCATATACCAAAATGACTGATGCAATTTTTGAAGAATGCTTAAACTCCTTGCCTTACTTTGTCTGCCTTTCAGTCAGAGCAACCTTCCAGGGACTTGCCACCTCAACATATGCAGATTACTTTTTATTTTAAAAAGTGCTGCTTTCTAGATATCCCTGAATTGTGCTACTTTCAAAATCCAGGCAAAGAAAAATTTGGCTACTATATGCTCTTTAACAGTTTGGTTTTTCTGCTGAACTCTTAAGGGGCCTCCTGCTATTTCTATTTGTTTGTGCCCATTCTGCAGTGCTGTGGTGTGTCATTGCTGGTTTTGCTACTTTAATTTGAGTCTTTGTGTTACCTGGCAGGACTTATGAAACAAGAAGCAAGAGCAAGGAATCAAATAGTCTTGAGAGAAGGCAGGTAGGTTGTCTATGCTTTTGCATCCCTAGAGCCTTTGATTGTTGCCTAGTTGAATGCTGTGTATTTCTACCTGTACAAATCTGTTGCACCCTAAGGAAGCTGAAGTTTTAAGCTTACCCAGTGCAGAGGTGAAGGAATGTGATTCTCGTAGCCTCTAAATGCTCTGTCATTTTGAAAGCAATGCTCAGGATGCACCATCACTGCCAGACCAGCTAGTGAATTGTCTGTGTTAGCTGTTCCCCCCTGATGTGCTGCTGGATGCAGCTCAGACATACTGAGGCTTTCCTCCTTGCAAGAGTGCTCTTATTTTAGGCACAGGTGAGAGGGAAAGACAAGGAAGGAGGATACTGTAAAGACCCCATGCTGGCAAAAGGCAAGCATCTGCCTCTTGGTGTCTTGATACAGCTGTTTCAGCAGCTGGCTGCAGCTGTTTTGTCAGATTTCACAGCTTTACATGTTGTGTTGTGGGGAGGGAGAAATAGGATAACTTGGTAGCAGCTGAAATGGAATGGCTGAGGGGCTTCTGATGGACAGGACTTAACAGTGTTTTTTAGTCCAGCTACAGGAAACATCTTTTTTCTGAAAGCAACAATGAGAATACAAGTCCTGCTCAGAGTGAGAAAAGTTGGATCCTTGACTCTCAGATACAGTCGGTGCCAAAACCTGTTGACTATACCCGAAAAAGACCCAGGGTGAGAAGTAAATTAAAAGGTAAGCTTAGTCCCCTACTGACACTTAGCTATGCATGATGTACTGTGCTGCAGAAAAGCAAATGCTTATGATAGTTGGCGAAAGGAAAGTTTGGCCAAATACTGGCTCCCCTGAGTGGGAGACCTGACCAACAGCAGACATCCCCTGCAGCCATGCTCCAGGGCTGTCTGCTGCTGTCACCACCAAATGGAAACCAAGTTATCCTGAATGAGATGGAATGTTTCTCTCCCACTCATGGAGAAATGATGCTTGCTCAGGGAGCTGTTTGATTCTGTACATATTAAAAAGCAAAAGAAAGTTGAGCTTCAAATTATTCTTTATACCATATTTCCAGGGCAGTTGTTCTCACTCCAGTGTCAGCTCACATGTCTTGCCTGGGACTTGGGGACTGTCAGACAGGATGCTGAGCCTGTCTTTTGGGGTTTTTTAAATTTTTTTGGCTGCCCTGGATGCAGTGAGTTGTGTATGTCTGCATCATTGCATCTGCCTTTGTTAGAGAAAGGTGTTTTTTTGAAACTTAATGAAAGTGTTATGAAATTTTATTTTGTAAATGTCTAGAAAATCAAAACTGAAAAGGTTTGTATTGTGGCTAGCTCTGTTAACTGGGTAAAGCACACACTTTACATTGCCAGTAATCAGGGAAGCTTTTCTTCTTACAGTGCTTCCAGTATCTTCTGCAAGTAGTGGCAGTGACTATGAGTCAAAGAAGGTAAGAAGGTGTTATGCTTTAGTGTCTCAGATTAAAAAACGTTATGGATGTAAATACCAACCATCCAAAACTCTCCCTCCAAAACAACACCCCAACCCCTACTACTGTAGTAATGTTTAAATAATGCTTAGGTTTGTTTTGTTTCAGGAGGGAGAATCAAGGCAAAGACCTCAAAAGGAGATGCTAAGGAAACAAAGCACATTTAGCTCCAAGGGAGATGATTTACCCACAGTGGTTCTTGCTGGTATTTTTGTTTTAATTGTCTTCAGTGCATTAGAAGAGTTTTGATATGTGTGGATCTGTACTTTTTGAATGAGGTTGGTTTTTGTGGTGGGTTTTTCTTTTTGATTTTGCCACTTTTCTTTCACATTTTTTCCATAAATATTTGCCTCATGATATTTCTTTGTAATGGCTCTGAGGGGTAGATACTGTCTGTGTTGACTAGTCTCTTGTACAAGGGGATAATAAACCGGTGCTGCTGAGAGGCAAAGGTATGAACTTGACTGACAACCACCAAGAAAACAGCCTTTGGACTGAGTCTGAGCCACCACCTCTTCCCTGTGTGCTAGGATAAGAGGGTAGAGGGCTTGGGTTTTATTTTGTCATTAAACAGAGGTTTCCAGTCAATACAGGAGTCAAACTCTGTTGCCTGGGTCATTTATTAATCTCTCACACAGATGAAACGCTCTCAGAGGACATTGGAGGGAGTCCCCTGCTACTGAGTGTGCCTGCTGGGAGCCCTTCCAGTGACGTGGAGAAGCCCACACAGGTACAGAATGCAGTGCTTAGCCTCCTTCCAGTCTGCTGTCAGGCTACCTCTACCTGAAACCCGTGCATTGTGTCCCTTTGCTTCCCTTAACAAGACAAGTCCCTGGCAGCTTGTCTGCAGGGTGAGTAGCCTTATTTTATTCTTTCTCTCCTTAGATGTTTCATGGTACACCGGGCAAATTATCGAGAGAAGAAGAAAGTACCAAGCGGAAGGACTCAGGTTTGCTACTCTTGAAAACCCCAAAAAGTTGGTTAAAAGTAGAAAGAGGAGGTGCCAAAGCTGTTATTTTCTTTCAAAGACAAATTAACACTGACTTTTTTGAGATTACTTTTCTCTTTTTTTTTTTTTTTTTTTTTTTTTATTTTTTTTTTTTTTTTTTTTTTTTTTGCTAAATTCTGTTTCTCTGTTTTGTATATCGTGACAGATGCTTTTACATGCATTCCTGAATTCATTGCTAACTCTTAAAATCTGTCCTGGATTATAGGGGAACTTGTAGTGTAGGTGGGATTTTACAAGAGACACACAAGATAATTTCTAATGTTTCAAAAGTGGACTGCAACTTCAATTTAAACAAAACAAGCATCCCTTCAAGTTGTTGATTTTCCTTATGCCTAAGAACATAGATGTAAACCATTGCTATAAGCATTTGTTAAATGGGGACTTGGATAATGTTTATTACTGCTGTAGCTTTTTAATAGGTAAGTGGGTAAGTGGCACTTCAGGATCCTTTTTATAAATGAAACTGAACTTTCATAAACTAACTCGAAAGTGCAAGCACAGTCTTTGTTGTTGAAAACAACTGAACTTCAAGCAAGTCAAGCAGCAATAGGGTTGTTTTCATCCTAATAATTCTTAGTGCTGATGTAGTTCTAAGAGTCTGAGTTATTGTTGTGACTATGAAGTGAGTCGCTGAAGTTTTGGTCTTGGACAAAAGCATCCCTTTTCTCATGAGCTGGTTCTGTTTGTGTTCCCAGTTTATCTTTCACCTGTCCAGCATTTTCTGAATACACCTTCACTGCAATAACACATCTGTTTAATTTTGGGGGAAGGTAGGTGCTGAGGACTTCATTTTTGTGACTGTTTGCTGTATAGCCTTACAGTTGAAGAGGAGTTGTTGCCATGCAAAGGCCCAAGCAGGATTCTGCTCAAAAATTTCAGATGTGGTCTCTGACTGCATTTGAACTCTCTGTGAACCCTAAATCCACTCCAGTGTGCTTCTCTTGGTCTGACTGCCCCCCTTGTTCTAGGCCCCATCACCTTCCATTCTGCCCTACGGGAGATGATTTGCCAAACAGACAACTTGTTGAATTCAGAAAAAGTGCACAATGAGACAATAGGATGGAAGTCTAGTTTATTTCTTTGGTTTTTAGAAGATTTGCCTTAAAGTAGAGGCTGCAGCTTTGATTTGGATTGTTTGGATTGAATCAATTTTGTTTTCTAAAAATTTCTTCATAAGCAGTTTGAGAACTTGGGCTGGGAAAGGGAATGGGAAGAAGCTGGACATCAGAGATTTTTGATTAGAGTAGAAGGCCAAGAAAGGAATTTATGTTTAAGATGGAGATGTGGAAGGTTTCCAAATACCTGTATAACACTAGGCAGGCTAGTTCCCTGCTTTTGCAGGGAAGATGCTTGCAGGTGAAGTCTTATCCTGTCATGTGTGATGCCAGACCAAAAAATGAGGCTGCCTCCTTTTCTGAAGCATTGGTAATTCAAATGGTGAGCAGGCACTGTCATGTACCTCATGCAAAAGAACAGATTTCTTCTGAAGTATCTTCTGTTTTCTTTCTAGATATATTGAGTAGCACGATCATAAAAAAGCCTAAATTTTCTAGTTTGGAGAAAAATCACTTGCCCTCTGAGATTAACCATGAATTAAAGAAAATTTCTGATTCAGTAGAAGAGGAAGTGGAGATCCAGAAAGGTAAAATCTAGTGCTTAAATGCTTTCAGCTTTTCTTCTCTTGTGGCAGAAATCATAGTCATATGGAAGCTTGAAGAGATGTATTTGTAGAGAGGCCAACTTCTCCAAAGTCCAAAAGTCAAAATTAGCAGGAGGTATTGCAGAACTGCCAATGACAGTGGATATTGTGCCTGTAGAAGTGCGAATAAGGAAATTTAGGTTCCATTTAGTCAGCTGCTTCGTGACATCCATACTTTCTAGTCTATCTGAATAGTGATTTTCCAGAGCTATTAAAAAACCATCAAACACAGCAGCTGAAAAGAGGCACGCAGGTAATGGACAAAGTAACTGCAAACTACTGCTAACTCTGAGTACAAGAGGATCAGGCTTTCCCTGCAATGCATAAGTAGAATATAGAAAGCAGTGGTGGCCTGACTATTTTTTGCCTTTATTCTGTTCATTTGCCTTAGTATCTGTAAATAGCTCTTTGTGTTGCTCTGTTGTGCCTATCCTTCCCTGCTGCTCTCTAATAAATATTTCTCCTGGGATTTTTGAGCCGGTTTCCCTCCTGGTTGTGAGCTCTGGAATAAGCAGCACCAAATTCCACCTCTGTAACAGTTGTTGTTGACACATGAATGACAGTCCCTTCAATAGCAGGAAGGTTTATATTCCAGGAAGTCTTCCAGCATGATGCTGACTGGGCATGTGCTTCCTCCTAGGTCAGGAAATGGATGCTAGCACAGATGATGTATTCTTTTCCAAGATGCTTCATGAAGACTTGAGTGATTCAGGAGTGATTTCTGCCTTTGAAAGCTTTATTGGCCAACTGAAGAAATTGTTCTGGGTAATGTAAACTCTTTAAAAACGTGTGGCAATTGATCATGTTATGTGAAATTACCTCTTTATCTCAGGGAGAGTTGGTGCAAATATCCCATCTTAATTTGTGTTCAAGAGTGGGGCTTTGGTGTCAGTGCCTGTTAGTCTGGATCTCTTAGAAGTATTCTACAGAACTTGTATATTCTGAGAAGTGTTACAGGGAAGGTGAAAATGAAATTTCGATTAGGTTCTTCCAAATACAACACTGCCCTGAAAGTGGCATGGGTTACATCAAGTCTTGTTGGTGTAACTATTGTGACTGAATTAATTCAGATCATATCTGCAGCACCAATATGTGTCACCTTACTGGAGATTAAATTTGATTTAATATGGTTTCTGCTAAGATGAATGGCTACCTGCAGAGGAACTTGTTTTCCAGGGGAAGGTTTTGCAAGCTAGACTTCTAGGTTTTGGCTTGGGCCATTGCCTATCCCTAACTGTGCATCCCATGGCTAGTCCCGCTACAAAAGGATTGAGATCAACACACAGGATGCCCTGAGATCTTCAGAGAAGAACTTGTCTGCCCTTCTGAACCAGATACACAGGTGCAGGTAAGTGGTCTGGTGCTGGCTGAAAACAGCTTCAGTTTTGTGTCAATTATGGTTAATAGGAAAGCCAACCTGACAGCTGGTTATTGTCCTTATAGTTTGTGTGGCAAAATAGCTTATGTGTGGTGGTTCTTTTTTTTTCTTCTATGCAAGAAGAATTTCAGAAGTATAAGTCCTGTGATTGGTCCTAATTTTCCTGTAGGAGAAGAAGATGGGTTAATTCATGCAAAGCAAGCTTGATTTACAAGCAGTTGATGGAGCAGTCCTTGGACTGTCTTCTGGTTGTCATCAACTTAGTAGCTTCTATTTTCTTCTTCAAGAAAGAAGACAGACCATGACTTGCTTAATGAAGTGGAGGAGAAGAAAAGGGATTTCTCAGATCCTGGATTTCTTAAATAGGAGCTAGATAAAAAATCAATTCTAATACTTATGGATTTGGTAAAAGTGAGATACTTACATCTTGTACTTGTAAGTCTATCAGGCCTCTGTATCTATTACAAATTCACTTCTTAGGATTTAGATCAAATGTAGTATGAAATAGTAGTCGCTAAAATGAAAAATCCCTGGTGTCAATGGGACCTCTATGAGCAGAATTTGCTGTCATTAAGGTACATGGGGACGTTTGAGTTCCAAAGGAAAAAAATGCCATGTTTTGTGGTGGAAGATAAGGGTAGATGGCAGTGAGATGCTTCAGTGCTTGGTTGCCAAGTAAATAACTTGGATCTAACCAGGGTCACAGGATAGTGGATGCAAGGCTGTGCCAAATTTTTTCTAACTCAGTGAGGCTGAGAATGGTGGAAAAGTCAATAAAGGTGTTGCAACCACCGCCTTTCTTAAGATTTAGAAATTGCTGACATGCTGTGACAACACTGTACATATCAAATTCGTGGCAGGAAAATCCATAGAAACTGTTTGTGTCAAGATGGAATCATAGAATGGTTTGGATTGGAAGGGACCTTAAAGAGGTCTTCAGCACAAGAAATCTGTGCTGAACTCCCTGGAGGCTGGGAGAGCACACACTGCAAGTATTGTGCTGGGAATTAATTTATGTTCTCTGTCCCAGACCTCTGTTACTGGCTGCTTTTTGGGACAGGCTATTGAGCCATATTTATCTGCAGTGTGACTTTGCAGCTATTCACATGCTCTGTGACATATCTGAGAACAAATCTGCCCCATGTAGTTCAGCAGTGAATTTCTCCTCTGCCTCAAGGTAGGTTTGCTGCTGGAGGTGTTGTCCACCTTGTGTGACTGCACATTGAGGTGGCAAAATTGTTTCTGCTCTCCATCACTAGGCTGAATAAATTTGAGACCTTCCAGAAGATTGTTGTTGAAGAGCTTGCCAGCCTTGAGAAGGAAACTCAAATTCTAGCAGCTATGGAGAAGGATGCACTGGTGTGTACAACTTCTTGTGTGCTAGCCCGAGAAGGTGCTCCTTCCCAGGTAACAGAGGTTTTCTCTGGGGATCTTTTTAGGATTTCTGGAATGCACAGCTGATCAAACTGAATACTTTCTGTACCCAGCAAAAGCAAAGGTATGTCTCTGCCAGCTGTCCTGCATGCTCACAGGTCCTCTGATGGTCACAGAGGGCACTGGTTAGACTGGTGGCACTCTTGCTGATAGAGGGGAAAGGATTCTAAACCTAGTATGGCATTTTCACTTGGTGTCCACTGATTGAGCTTTTGCAGCCTTGTGAGAGTTTTCAATTGGAATTAGAGTGTAATTCTGTATGGGAAGTTGTGCAGGAGAGGAGAGCTGTACCAGGATCTGGAATGCAGATGTCAACATGACTGTGTCTGGGGTTCAGGAGAGGTGGAAGGAGGTGATAATTTCCTGTATAAAAGACACTGTTGGCATAAATGCTGAGCAAAAACCTGCTATTCTCAGGTTTATTTTTGGTGGCAAATATATCTGTTCGAGCTTCACCAGTAAGTGCTTAGTGAAAAACCAGCTAAGATCACTTTTCTTCACTTTTCAGAATTGAATCTGTTGACTCAGCCCTGGGTGAAACAGCCAAGAGTTTTGCCAACTCTGTCCAGAATACAACGGTATGTGACAGAAGCAGCTCCCTGTGGACAGGGACTGAGCTCTGGCCTGACTGACTGGTGTTGGAAGTGAGAAAATGAAACTGAAATCCTGGGAAGGGAAGCCTTTGGATGATTTGTGGGGCTGGTTCTTTGTGGGACTTCTGGTCCTGATGCATGGAAAGCATTGAGAAAGAAATGTTTGACAAGGGGAAGAGGTCAAACAGTACTTACCTAGGGGAGAAGACAAAGACAAGAGCCATCAGGTAGTGGTGTTTCTCCTGGGTTCACAGTCTGGGACAGCTTCTGTGTAGTTTGTGACCCTCAATGCATTTGCCCTTGGACTTGTGCATCCATGACAACCTGTGGCTAAGGGCTCTGCAGTCTAACAGCACCTTGCATGTTTTCTCTCATCTGATCTTTAGGTCTGATAAGATCTAGTCTTGATGCATTCAAGTTGGATTTTTAAAAAACAATTTTTTTAATAAGACTTACATCCTGGTTAAATATTCTGTTAAAGTTCTTAAGCTCTCCAGAGTCTAATCTCTATTTTATGCTCTAGTTCTAATTTGTAAATTAGGACGAATACTCTGCTAACTTTGATACAATGCTTAGTTTCCCTCTGATTCACTCCATCAAAGGGATGTGTATTTTTGCTACTGCTGCTGTTTCAGTTCTATGTGCAGATCTAATGGCTTTGAGAGTTGAGCATTTCTGCAATAAAACTGATGGATTACTGCCATGTGTGGGATGCCAAGTGCACTCAGTGGCACTTCACAGGGCTGAGAAAGCTCCCTGTGTTGAAGGAGCAGCTATGCCTGTGGTCACCACAGTGGACTGGGCCTGGGATTTTAGAAAAGAATGTTGAAAACCAAGGGCTTGTATATTTTAGCAGTCAAAATTGGAATCCTGAGCTTTTCCAAACGGAAAAGTTTCCATTATGAGCATTGAGTTGCTGAGGGACACAGGTGCTCCTGAATAAGGACACTTAAAGAGCAGCAGGGCTGAGAAAGGAGCACTTGTGTCACAGGAGTTGTTCATCCTGCAGCACTTATTCCAGGTAGGTGCTTGAAAATTAAGAGCCGAGTCTAAACATGCTTCTGGTATCTTTGCAATTTCTTATCTTGAACAGTTTCAATGCTTGTATGAATTTTTGTGATGTTTTCTCTTACCTTTTTTTTTTGTTCTTCCCTGCAGTATGAACATCCAACGAAGAAGGAAGAAGAAAACGTGTTCATTGTTCCTTCTGACTAGAAAACCCCTGAATTCATTATTCCTCATGACATTTGAACACTTTGTGTGCAGCATAGAGAAGATGGTTCTGTGAAGGATGTTAGTCTATTTCAAATGAAAAGAAAAAAGAGGAGGAAAAAGCATTATGTTGAGCCCTTGTTTTGCCTAAAAAGGATATATAGTGGTAAGTGGTCCAGTTGTGACCCTTGTGTGGATAACAAGTTTTTCTGAAAAATTGCAAGATTAGATCCATTATATATCAAAGAAATTTTAAAAAATGAAGTAAAGATAATGATATAGCCATCAAACTGATGGATATATTGGCTTACTTTGTCTGTTCTGCTAACACCTTTATCAAGTGTAAAAGTGTTTAACAATTGATTCAAAGTAAAAGGTTGTTTGCATATGATAACAATCTCACTCTTTCCTTTAAATTGATGCACTGGGAGTGTCTGGGAAGGTACTCCAGAGTCCTGCATACCTTGCACAGGATGTGTTAGGTATAGCCTCTCCTGTGTGCACGTAAGTGTGGGAGCTGCTGGCTTGACAACATTTCCACTCAATTCTGGCTTGCAGAGTGGAAGGCAGAGCAGGATCTATTGGCCAGATGCCTGACAGCAAGCTGGAGACTGTAGAGGGCAAGAAATTTGGAGAACTGAACAGAAAATGGCAAGTGAAGCAGGAGAAATTACTTTTGCAGCCAGTGACTTTTGCCTCCAAGGAGAGTTCAGAATATCATGAACAATACTAGGATTAGACAAAACAGCATCACAGGTGTCTGGAAAGTAAGCATGAGATAACCCATGCTATTTAATATTGTCCTCTGCTGTGGCAGAACTTGACAGAGTTCGCCAGATTATAGTTGCTCTTCACAAGAGACTGTGTTCTTGCAAAACCAGTATTAGTGTTAATGCACCTTAATGAATTTGTGGGAACATAGCAGATTTCCAGGCTTTGAGTTTCTCCTTAACTTATAGAGCCAGCCTCAGATCGCTGTATGGGTTAGAGTTGAGGGAACCCTCCCTGCACAAAATGTACCTTTGTAACAAAATCCCAAGCCCTGACAGGGTTTGTCTCATAACTGAAATATGGCTGATGCTGTTCCTGCTTGAGAAGGTCACACAGGGTAGCACCAGCACAGAGAAGAGCAAGAAGCTGCTGTTGCCATTGCTTTACCATTTTATGTTATTCCTTTATCTTAAGTAGTCCTGAGTAGGGTTGGCATGAGCTGAAGTTTGTTCATCCCCATCAAGATGCATTTGGCGCTTTCCTCCTGGAGTTGTTTAGAAGAAAATACCTCTTCAACCCTGCCCTTTCCAAAGGTCAGATCTACTGGTCTGCCCCCTCCTATTCTTAAAGTGAAGGGCTGAAATGCTGATTTCACATCCCCTGGTTTGTGCTTGTTTCTTTGAGGGCTGGTCCTGGTGACCTGGCTACACTGCATCCTCCTGCTACTCTTTAGTGTCCCTACAGCTGCTGTTTGATTCTAGGCTCTCAAAGTACTCAGCTGAAGCAGCTGTGACTTTTGGGAGATGAAGTTGTAACCTCTGTGAGCAGCTGTTCTTGAGTCCGGTAAAACTAGTTGTGCATCTTGGCAACAGAGTTTTTGGCATGCTCTGGTCCCATCAGTATGGTGATATACTCAGATGACCTCAGCAGTGCCATTAACCAAAACAGACTTTAAGATATCAGCCTGGATTATTTGATTTTATCACTATCCTGTTGCCTGGATGTGCCAGGTCCTACATTTGGGGCTTTTACTACCTGTGTGGTAGCCCAAGGCTTGGGCTGTAGGAGTGTGTTAAGGCTTGAACTACCCTGTTGCTTCTTATTGTGACCCAGAGCTCACAATGGCGAATGTAAAGTGGTGCCTTGTTCTGTGATGCTCCAATTCCACGATGAGCCTTCCAGTAATTCCCACATAAACACCTATATTCTGTGGTTTTATTGTCCACTACCTGGCCAAATATGATGGTGCAACCTGGGCTGTCAAGGCTCTTGATGTGAAGCAGACCTAAGAATTGAGATGAACTGCCTGCACCGTGGCTGTTCCTGTGCACTGAATTCTGCAAAGCCACAGAAACAGCGCCGAGAATTTGCACCCTCAGGGCACGTGTCATCTCCTTTGGGATGGGTGTTGCATTATTTAGGTTTGCTCATCTGCATCTCCAAGCAGTTTGCTGCCCAAAGGGAAGATTTGAAATAGGAAGAGGATGAGATGGGTGTCTCTCTCTGGTTTTTAAGGTGTTTTATGGTTGGTTGTGTGGGTTTTTTTTTTTTTTCAAACTTTGACAGTAGTGGTTGATTTTTTTTTTTTTATTTTTTTTATATCTGAGGTTTTTGATGGATTCATTGATCTCTTAAGTTCAAGCTGTTGAGCATTTATGCTTTGTCAGCACTGTGAAGTAGATGTATAGGAACATTTGTTTTGCTACATTTCCTCAGCCTTCATGTGTGTTGGCAGAAGGCTCTCTTGGTGTCTCCCGTAACTGTAAGAAATTAGGAATGCTTTTCATCCAAGCATCTTGGCTAGATAACAACTTAGAGTGCATGAATTTATTTCTGTATCTTATTGTTGCATCTCTGCATAACCTGGAACTATAAAGCTTGGAAGGTGAGTGTTGAGCACTTCAGAGGGCAAGGTTAAAGGAGAAATCAAGGTTCCTTACTTAGTAAAAATTGCCATGATAATACTGTATGTACCTACATTTGGTTTTAACTGTTTTAAACTGCTGTTTGAGAAGTCTGGACCCGAAAAGGCTGTTTTAATGATGGGTATGGGAGAGCAGAAAGGGATGTCACACTGCTACTCTCTATCCCTTCATATGAAACACTTTAGCTTTTGAGAAGCCCCGTGTGTCGCAGCTTGATAACCTGTGAACTACCTAAAGTGAAAATTTTGGACTTTACTAATGGCCTTTCCATCTGTAGGCAGTAGAAGTGTTTGGAGACAACATCTGGGACAGAAATGACATTTTCTGACCTTAGACAGCCTGTCTCATACCACTTCCTGCACTGCTGGGTCAATTAAACATGTTTGAGCTTAAACCTCCTGAAGGTCTTAAGTCCATTTGGTTTCTGCAACAGATATGTAATTGGGTTATCCTAAAGTTACTTTTTGGAAGGTAGGCAGCTGACCTTGGCAGGTTTCCTTTGTCTTTCCCACTTCATGCTTTTCAAAGTGCTGTTAATCCAGGTATTTATTTTCTTCCTTTCAGAGCAAATAGAGCTCAATTGTCAAACTGTTGAGCCGGAACAACAAAGATTTAGTGTTCATGGGTCCCAGTGCAGTGGCCCATCCAAGGGCTACAGCTGCCTTGTGTCAAGGCTGCATAAAGCCAGAGAAAAAGATGTCCATTGTGGCTGGAAATGGGCAGAGGAGCTGTGTGTGTTTACCCTGGCCTGGAGACAGCCCACCCTGCTCAGTAAGGTGTGCTCAGGTCAGCTGGAGCACACAGGGACAGCTCCTGCTTCTGCAGGCAGTAGAACCACATCTAAGAGAGCAATGCACTGGAAAATAGACATGTTTCTAGGAATAACTGAGAGCTATTGTGTATTTTCAATCTGAAAGAAATTTTATTTTTGAGATCTTGAGATTTGTGAGATTTTGATTTCTCCATTCGTTTTCTACCATTGTGTTCCAACTGAAAACAATCCAATAATCAAATGAGGACTTGATGGGCAAGTATAAGCTTTGAACAAACAAGTTACTTCAATATTACCTTTAAAAGCCCAAGTTTTTATAGGTAGAAACCTATAAAAATCACATGTAAGCTTTAGACCAACACCAGTGAAAGTGTTGTATAAAATTATGGAGATTGTTTTTGAATCTGATGTGAATGCCCTAAAAGGCTTCTTTAAAAGTTGGAGAACAAAAGTAGCCTCAAGTAACCAGTTGCCAGCCCAATTTGATGCCTTAAAGAGGAGTGGAGACAGCTGATAGTAAAATTTGTTTATTTACAGTGTTATGTAGTACAGGAAAATCAGTTTAAAAAGTCAATGCTTCTCTTTCTTCAAAGTTGCAGCATTTTGAAGATGTTAAGACATATCTGAAGAATTTTAAACATACCTGATTCCAGCCTTCCTGGCTGATCTGGATCTGCAAGGTCTGACACCATCTGTTTCTTTTTCCTTTTTCCTTTTTTTTTTTTTTTTTTTTTTTTTTTTTTTTTTTCCCCAGCCCTTTGAATTTCAAGTAAGGCATTTATTTATTTCCTTTTATTTTGAACGAGGTTTCAACAAAACAAAAGACAATATCTGTGGGTTTGATTGCTGTAGTAAACTTTAACACAGCACAGCTGACGCTTTCCACCTTGATAGTCAAATGCATGCTTGGCCATCAAAAGATTACGGACTCCACTCGGCCTAAAATCCATGCTGGGACACACAACCCTTTTGTTGTCTGCCTTAGATGAATGGTCCAGCTCATTGCTTTGTTCACTGTCTTATCAGCTTTTTCTAATTCCTCTGCCTTTACCTTGGCTTCCAGTATCAAGCTGATTTCTAGAGAGCTCTGAAGCTCTCCCTTTACTTAGGGGTATGTAAAATATCCTCAGTCAAGCCCTAATGTAAACTAATTTCTTACATCTTGGGTTTTTTAGTATCAATCAGAAGTACCTGTAAAGGTTCTGGAAGAACCAATGAGAAATAGTATATGCATACAGTGTCTAGGCTTTGTGAATGCAGGGTTCTTGGATTTTTTGTTTTTTTGTTTTTTTTTTCTTTTGGGTTGCTGCTTTCTCCCTTTGAGTGTTAAATAAAACAAAACACTGACTTTCAGTAAGTGAGGTTTTGTGACCAAGATCATGAAGAGGGGAGCAAATATGAATATGCACCAGTTAGATCTAGGCTGGTGTGGTGGTGTGAAAGTGTTTGAATGTTGCAGTTATTTTGGTTACCCGGTTCACAATGATGTAGTTCAGCAGTCAGCCTGCTAAGAGGTACTGCTTCTGTTGTAGCATTTTGGGAATTTCAGTTTTCTGCTGGAGCAGATAAGTTTTGTCCCTGTTGCAATGGAACTGGAACTGTCTGGAGACAGATGGCATCCAATGGGACTTTCAAACACACTGTCAAGCAGAATTCTTGACACAGAACACCCTTCATCATGCCATTTTCTCCTCTTACTTTTGCTGGACAACCCCATCTGTTCTTCCCCTACTGCACCTCTTCCTCAGCCACTTCCCTTCCTATCCATGAATCCTCATGACTCTGGTATCTCAGGCTGCTCCAGGTGAGGCTGGCTGCCCTGTGTCCATACTGCTGCTCTCCTGGCAGATCATCTAAATGGGGATAATTGACTTTCTAGAGGTGGAGAAGAATTGGACAGCAGGATTTGGGACAGTCTCCTCTACATATGAGCCTTCTGTGCTGGCTGGGCATGTGTTTTGTCTTCCTCCTGCCCTGGGACTCTGCAAGGTGACAGGAGAGAGGACATGTTTCCTTTACAGAACTGCTTCAGTCCAAGGGGCTTGCTGGACTGAGTGACTCCAGAAGTTGTTTTTGTTGAGAGAATTTTGTATGTGAGAATGGAAGAGATCAGACCTACTTTACTGTGAGGAAAAAAGTCTGTGTCTATTTTTAGTAGAGGAAATTTAGTGGGCTAAATGAGAAAAGGGTGAGGGCAGACCCATACAGTTAACCCTGGAAGTATTCTTCATTTCTAACTATTTAAGTGGGAGTAAATGCAGTGAACTGAAGCAACAAAAACGGTGATGGACTGAGAGAGAGACTTTATACCTGCAGCCAACAGATATCTCCTTGCTTTGCCTCCAGAGGATTGTGCCTCAGTCCCATCTGTTTCTCTAGCCAGAGACTAGTCTGAGTAAGGTCCACCTGCCACAGAAATGCCTGTATAACCTGCTTTGCTCATTGCTTAACTCACTTTTCAAATTTTCTGCATCTTCCAGTCTATTAATATGTGGCATGACAGTTTGCTTTGAGTTAGCAATGTTTGTATAGGATTAACTTTACACACATTTACACTCAACGGATTTATCTTCATTAAGTTGCTAAGACCCTATTTCTTTCAAAATCCATTTACCTAGAACTCCTATTAATTAGTAAGCTCAAAGTGACTTCTTTTGCTCTGTGTTCAGAATGCCATTCTGGACAGTACCAGGGGCTATCAGCACAGCCCCCTGAAACAGAAACTCCTGCCACCCTTTTAGGCATTTGAATCAGGTTGTACTTGTGTAAAGCAAGTGAGCATGGTGCACAGCTGCCTACAAACTATGGGATGGTGCACCTGGGCTCTGCCCTCTGTCATGTCCTTCCCCAGGGCTGCCACAGGATCAAAGGGTACCTTGCTGGTGTCCATGGGGAAGGGAGTGTGCTTTGGGGAATTGCTGAGAAGAAGAAAAGAGGGGTATGGTGATGGAAAATGTACGACTGTCACCTTTCCCTCTCTCCTTTATTTTCTTGGCCTTAGCCACAGTTTAGCTGGATGTACTGGGTGCACTGTGAAGCCTTGCCTCAAGACCTCTTGCATGCACTGAAAGTGCTCACTGTGTTAGTCTGAACAGAGTCCTAACCTTTTGAAGGCATTGATGGCTTTATCCATCAAGTGTTTCATAAGGCGTTTTTGTGTCAGCATTAGAGATCAGAAAGGTTTTCATTTTCATATGAGAAAGATCTTGGCTTTCTTTGTTTTGATGGTGATCTTTGACAAGACAAGTAATTCTACTCGTTTTGTTAAAACCTAAATAGCAGTACATTAAGAAGTGTCTGGTACAAAGAACTGATAAATGTAATCAAATAGGTTTTAAGCTAAAGCTTGCAATTCAGTCTTTTTTCTTTTTCTCTTTAGAAAAAAAAACCATAGGAAACACTATACTTATTGTGCCTTCTTATTATTCTGCAATCCATTGGCAGCAGCAAAGTAGTCCTTATGGAAACCATTCTTGATTTCAGTTGTGACAGGGGTTTCCTTTACAGCTGTTCTTGAAGGTGCTTTCCGGTACGTCTATAAAAGCAAAATCCAAAGTAAACACTCGGATTAATTTAGTGCCCACCAAAACACTGCTTATGGTTAACTGTAAATGGAGCTTGTCTGCTGTTTGTTGATGCAGATGTACATATTTGCTTTAGACTGCATAAAAGGTACTGTAGTATTTTCACTGCTGTGGGTGATGTTACTTTACTAGCCTTACTACAGGCTTACTTACATACTTCTCACTGCCAAGAGATTTCAAGCCTTGTACACTAAAATCTTGATGTATGCAGGCAGGCTAGAGCACTCCCTGCTAAAAGATGTTGAAGTAAACAAGGCAAACACAGATTTTTTTTTTTTTTTTCCCATAAGAAGGAGAAAGATTCAAAAATTTGCTCACCAAAGCAAATTTAGACCCCCTATGTACTGAATGCAGTACCTGACTTGCTATACAAGTGTAGAAGAGTTGAGCTGCAATGAGGGGGTCATCACCACTGAATAACACTCTCTGACATGACTATATCTGTTATCCTAAAATGATGTATATATTTTAAGACTAATGTATTTTAAGCACTGATACTCATTCTACATCTGAGTCCACCCAGACTGCTACCCAAAAAGTTCTATTTTCTCCATCCTTGTCAGAGAGTTCTCAGAAGACTGCTTACCTTAATGTAGAAGTTGATGAAGAGGATGACCAGTGTGGCCATGTAGGAGGACTGGAACATGAGGCAGCCAAATGGGAATCCACATGGCTTCACAGCTGCACTGAGTGTGTGCACAATAGTGAGCAGAAACTGGATCTGTGGAGAGAAGATAATGCAGGAATATTTGCTGAGAAAGGGTCAGTGCTAGCTAAATCAGACACAGCAATGGCCTCTAGTCCTCCTCCTTCAAAGTTCAAGTACTCCTGAAAACTATCCCTTTCTAAACTCTGAATGCATTGTAAAGGTTAACTTAAAATGGTGCTCTTGTGAAATTAAATACAACCTTAAGGGGTCAGAGGTTTCTAAAAGTAAGTTTATAGGCCTAGTTGATGAAAAGGAAGCTTTTTTCTTTCTCTCAGAGTTAGTAGATGTTGTTCTATCTTCCAGACCTTGTGTGAGGTGCAGTTGTTGTCTCTGTTACTGGGCAGAGACTGGAGGAAATGCTGAAGATTCCTGGCCATAGCTTTAGAAGTCTGACCATAAAATGCAAAACTCGGGTCTAAGGAGTTCAGATAGGCTATCACTTGCATTACTGGAGTTAAGGAGGAGACAAAGGAAGCAAAAATGAGACAGGGAAGAAATTGCAGAGACTCGTCTGCATTTAGAACTGTGAGCCCACACTGGTGCACCTGATTCTCCTCAGCCAGACAAGTGTGCCCTCAATCCAGTGTACTGAGGTGCATTTCTAACAGAGCAGTGTGTTTCACCTGCAGGGATGGTCTCAGAGAAGCAGATTTTCTAAGCAAATTTCTACACAGGAATTTTAAAGCTCACTGCAAACATCTGAACTTCCAAATTATATGCCCTGGGTTAACCTGGCTTGGCTGCCAGCTGCCCAAGCAGCAGCTTTCTTCCTTCTTCTCAATAGAATAAGGGAAGAAAATAAGATGACAAGAATTTGTGGATTGAGATAAAGGTAGGGAAGGCAATTGATAAAACTTACCTATTACTGTTAAAAGCAAAGTAGACTTGACTTGAGGAAGAATAATTTCAAGTATTGCCAATTAATAACACAGAAAGATAGCAAGAAATGAAATTAAAAACACCTTCCCCTAAACTTCTGTTTCTTCTCAGGTTCAACTTCACTTTTGACTCCTCTACTTCCTTCCATGTGGTACAGGGGCATGGGCTTTGTAGTCAGCCTGTCTTGCTTTGGCTTTGCTGCTCCTCTCTCCTCACACTCCTTCCCTGCTTCAGTGTGGGGTCCCTCCAGTGGGAGAGAGTTCCAATATGGGTATTTCCCATGAGCTGCAGTTCTTCACAAACTGCCCCAGTGTGGGTCCCCTCCACAGGGTCCAGTCAGGAACAGGCTCTTCCTATGTGGGCGTCCACGGAGTCACAGATTCTGACAGCAAACCTGCTTCTCTCTCCACGGGTCCACAGGAGCCTATTTCTCCTGTGGCTGTATCTTCCTTCAGGGCAAATGTGTCCATTGCTGCAGTGAGGGGTCCTCCATGGACTGCAGGTGGATCTCTGCTCCCTTATGGACCTCCATGGGCTGTAGGGGAACAGCTTCACCAGCATCTTCACCACAGGATGCAGGGCAGTTCTTGGTGCGAATTCCCTCCTTCTGCTCTGACATGGGTGTTTGCAAGGCTGTTTCTCTCATGTTTCCTGCCTTCTCTCAGCTGCTGTACTATGTTTTTCACCCTCAAATAAATATGATATCACAGAGGTTTGGCCAGCAGGGGAGATCTGTCTTGGAGCTGGTTCTGTCAGACGTTTTTTGTGACTTTTAAATCAATGTTTTTCCACAATTAAGGAGCAGTCATTTTCTATGTAATGGTTCAAAACTAACAGAATTTTGTCGACTAAAGAGTTTCTACTATTTGTTTTCTACAGAAAACACTTCTGAACATTATTTCCTTTATTAAATTATATCAAGGTGTGCTAATGACTTATGTATGATAAGTCACTGTATGATAGTTTCGTTATACTTCAATTCTAACTGGTTTAATTGTGTATATAACAATGTTTGCCTGTAGTTCATTTAGTCTTCTCACATTTTGAAGGATTTCTGGTAGTTAAAAATGAGAGTGAAATAAGATACATACCAGCTGTGCCTGAGTGAGGTATTTCTTCCACCAGAGATATTTGCGCATAGAAGGGATGACTGACAGTCCATAGTAAGAATACATAAGCACGTGGATAAAGCTATTCAAAGTGGGTCCAAAGAAACCTATAAAAATACATTGGGGACAAAAAAATTAAATGCCAACTGCTAAAAAGTGAGAGAGGATATTATTGCTTGTGATATTGCCTTTATATTGAATCTCTTGTGTATGGTAAGCATTCCTTTCCTGCTTATTCCTTGCTGAAGACATTCATGTTGTGTAGAGGTGCTCTCCTAGGGCACCAAAAATCCCAAATGATACTTCCCAGAGGGCTTTTCTCATGCTGAATATTGTATTTTTATCTCATATTTTTCTTCTCCTCCACCTTTTCCTATTCTGTAGATACAGGCTATTTTTTTTCCCTCCCCTAAAGTTCTTCTTGCAATGAGTCTTTCCACTATTCCTGTAAGTTTTCAACACTCCTTTATGACTTTGCTGCTCGTATGCAGCTTAGGACCCTGGGAGACATCTGTACTCCTGTTCCCTGATGCAGTAGCAAGGGCTTTACTCTGAATTGGACCAGCCTTTTGTGCATGTGTTTGATCATTGCTCTTGTTTTCTTCATTGGCTCTTCTGCTAGATGCACATTTACAGAATTTCATCCCAGATAATACCTTGCTGCTCTTATTAGTTACACTTACTGGATACTAGTTCCAGAGGAAATGAATTATCCTCTGTACTTTGCAGACTATAGAGAAGTAGCAGCACTGCTCTCTGTTGTGTGCTTTTGTGTTTGATGGCAGTGCTGCAACTACAAGATGGACTTGCCAGTTGTTCTGATTTTGCAACTGATTAATTACTTAGCTACTGATTTAATTACAGCAGCACAGTGCTCATGCAAAGTGTGGGGACCACACATTAGAAAGCACAAACCCCCACTGATTTGTTCACACCTCTAGAAATAGCTCCTAATTTCTATGAAATCTCTGATCCCTGCTTCTACCTCTACTTTGATTTTGTGCTGTCCACAGTAAGTGCCAACAAATGTGAATTCTGCTTTTAGCTCTGAAAAAGACCTGCAACAAGTTTCTTTACAAGATATTACAATGGGCTGAGATGACTCCTTCGAATAGGTTGTAAGAAAACTGTTTTTTTCCTCAACTTTGAAAGCAGTTCCACAGGAAGTCTCTGGCTATGTGAAGCCCTGGAAAAGTGTGCCTGTTGTGAGACAGCTCAAGATTGGACTTCTTATGCAAATGCCAAGAGACCAGCCTGTGGCATCATAGATCCCTTCCTAACAGGGAAGACTATGACATTTACTATAATCTTCTGAGGATGTATGAAACAGAAAAAACTTAAACTGGTATCTTAATTAGTAACTATGTAAGTAAAACATCTTGCTAAAGCAGAGATTGATGCATACAAGAGTTGAGCCTGTGAAAGGGCTATTGATTTAATTTGTTGTGATTGGTAAAGGCTTTACCACGGTCATGACTTCTTCCTGCATCTGATTTTGGAGTAGGTCTTGTATGTGATGTCTCTTCTGTGCTCCTCAGTACTGTTATGCTTAAAAGTGGTTTGAAGAGAAGTAAATACATGAGCTCGCGGCAAAGTGAAAAATCTAGGGCCTAAAACTCAGGTATTTTTGACCTGAACTTTTCCTGTGCTTTTAACTTTCCTGTGTTCTGCAGGTGGTCAGTAGTTCTGAAAGGCTCTGAACCCTAAAGGTGCCCTCGTATGTCACAGTGACACAATTCCTTTGCATGGTGATGTGATTCCTCCCCAGCTGCAGCTGACTTAGACCCGGAGTGATGAAGCAAACAAAGACTTACTCTGCCCACAAGGTATCCAGTTCAGAACACACCACCAAATGTTAAACATAGTGGCATGGTGATACACATGAAGGAAGGTGATCTGGCTGCTTTTCTTTCTCAGTACAAAGAAGATAGTGTCCATGAATTCAATTACTTTGGAAAAATAATACCACCATAGCACCTTGGCTACCTGTACAAGCAAGAAAAAAGGAGCAGGAGATCAATATCTGTCCATACAAGTGCTTAAATATTACTGTACTTCTTCACTCCCTAGGCATGCAACTTCCCAGAAGGTATTAATATGCTATTAAAGGAGAAGCACAAGCTTCAATTTTACTTTGCTTTTCAATGAAGCAGTTTTGTAAAAAATCACACATATTTAAGCAATTGTGTAAACATATAATTATCAAAATATAATTTAAGAAATATAGACTTTGAGGAAGGGTTTTGTAATTGTTTTGAGGGGGTTTTTTTACGAAGATGCAGTTTTGTGGGTAGGTTTTTGTTTCATTTTGGGGTTGCTTGCTTGGGTTTTTTTTAAGGGTGTCATTTTCTTGACACGGAACAGATTTTTCTGCCAGATCTTTCTTTTAAAAAAAATCTAAATTTGATACTCACTACAATGAAATATATATCCTCCTCTAGAGTAGAGCTATTTTATCAGAGCTCAGGTCTGTCCTAGGACAGTTCAAGACAGTTAAAACAGAAAGGATGCTGAGGGCTGAGCTGCTTTTGTCTCTCACCCGGATATCGGCCTCCCCTGCACTGTGGAGGTTCTGGCACTGCAAGTTGTAGCCGCCTTCCCACGTGGCAAGGATGAGCTGGAAAAGAAAACAGAGAGGTTACATTTGTGAACAGATGGAATGGCTTTTCCCCCTGCAGTTGTTCTGTCCTTATTGGTGGGTACCCACTCCTTCCATGAACTGATGCTCTTGAGCTAGACGACTTGCTAATATCTTGCATTTTGAAAGGAGAAAGGCATGGGTTAAGTGGAGATATGAAATGATGCATTTCTTCTTTCTCTGGCTTTAGAGCCTTCAAGGCATCTATTAAAATCTCTCATTACTTAATGCATTTCCAAATCCTCGTTCCAAAGCAAACACTGGAATATTGTATCTTTGTCCTGAAGCAGTATGAACAGAGCTTAACATAGCTACTTGTGCAAAGCTGTCCTTGAGAAAAATTCCCTGTGTGCCAAGCAAACAGAAGGCAAATGCAAAGTAGTGCAATGGGAGAAATATTTCCTAATGCCATACGTGTCTCTTTATCCTACACTCTTAAATGCTGGAGGAAGAGGAGAGCGGGCACAGTGCTGAATGGAGGCGTGAATGGGCACAGAGTTTCTTAAATCCTGTGCATGTCACATGGGGAAGCAGACAGAGCAATGAAATATCAGAGTGCCACGCTTGGGATAGAGCAGCTTGCCAGAAAAACATATGGTAGTTTTTGATATGGAATATTTTTACAGTAACAGCCACGTAAAGCATTTAGCAGTCCTTTTGGAAGAGGGAGCATCATCTCTTGCTTATAAATGCCATCTAGAATCCATTGATTTTGAAAAGATCTTGTTTATTCTCAAATAAGGGCACAGTGGGTTTGGGGACAAACTGAGCAACTCAAATTCTTGGGTCTTTCTCATCCTCTGCAGCCACTGCAGAGAGCGAGGGTGGGAAAAAGGCATTGAAGTGTTATGCTGTAAGCAGAATTGCAAGATGCTCAGAGAAGTGAGTTGCTTTCAGCTCTGGAGCTACGTTCACAGGGATGTGTGTCAGCACAGAGGGGATGACTTTTCCCTCTAGTTCACACTGAAAAGAACTGTCCTGTGTTGAGTCTGTGACAGTCTGTACAAAAGTGAAGCAGAGACATTCTCAGTGATCAAACTGAATTAATTCCCAGAGTAAATATATTAGAAACTGATTATTGATAATGTCTGGAGGATTAGAAAGTAGCCTAGAACGCTTATTACAAATTCACATTAAAATGCATTGAAACCTGGAGAAGCAGGGTCTTCTACTGTTTTTATTTTGAATTCAAATTCTGTGACTGTCCCTGTATAGTGAGCTTAGCTGTTTTAGGTGGCCAAAATAGCCCATAGAAATTGAATACAGAGATGACAATACAGTAAATTAGTGTTTTATAGATAACTCATACGTAACAATTGAAACAAACACATTCCTTTACAACCAACTCATTTTTCTGCTTTGCTGAAGAAACTTGACCTCAAAGTTCTCTGCTGCAGTAGGTAAAATGTTGGTTCACAGAAATTTGCTAGGAAAAGATGAAATTTTCAATACTAGTCTATTTTACAACTGTTCCAATTTGTATATGATTACAGTGGATTTATTTTTGAAAAATTTCTTTTGTGTGTTGTCTCTTTGTGTAATAAAGGTTGGGAGTGAGGGCTGGTTGATTGCCCAGCAGGTCCCAGGTAAAGCCCTTAGACAGGAAGGTGGTGTGTCACCACATGCCAAGAGCTGCTGCAGGACTCCTCCATGGAGATACTTTGGGGATGTTTTTGGTCTGGATTGATTGATACTGATTTTTTTGTTTGCTTTTTTTAACTACCTGGTAAGCAGTAGAGTGAACCTTGCCAAAGAAATCTGTTGTGCTTTCACTTCTATATAAAACCTGGTTTTGATTATACCTTTGCCAGTGATTTGTTAAATGACCTTAAAACACACGTTTGCCAAAAATTGGTGTAGTCAGCAGGTTTGCAAGCAGTATCACTGGCTACTTACAAAAGCATGGAAGAAGTCCAAGTCCTAAGTTCTCACACAAATGGGCTCAGGATAACTGGTGTGATTGGAAAGCTGTGGAGGAAATCTGTAAGTTGCTAGGGGCCATATAAAGGCTAGGAATAAGAAAGTGATTATGTGCAAAATGTTAGATACCTGTCTGGAAGCTGCCTGCCACTACAGAAAAGATAATATTAAAGAAAAACAATGACTGAAAACTGAGATGGAAAGCAACAGAGTTACTACTGTCCTTCAAAATAAAACAGCTCCAGAGACAGCTACAAAAGGAACAGAAGGAAAAACAAAAGTTGAAGGAAAAAGTGGACCTAAGGCTTATGTGGGCTTCAACTCCTCCTGCCATTGTGCAGACTAGTAAACTAATTGCATCTCTAGAAAACTGGTAGGGTAGCATATGAAGTGGTCCCTGGGGTAACAAACCACGGTTCTGCACCTGGGATGGGGCAGCCCTGGATGTACAGACTGGGGAAGGAGAGGTTGGAAAGGAGCCCCATGGAAAGGGACCTGGGGGTCCTGGTCCATGGCAAGTTGAACACGAGCCAGCAGTGCCCTGGCAGCCAGGAGGGCCAACCCTGTCCTGGGGGGCATCAGGCACAGCCTGGCCAGCTGGGCAAGGGAGGGGATTGTCCTGCTCTGCTCTGAGCTGGGGCAGCCTCACCTCCAGTGCTGGGGGCAGTTCTGGGTGCCACAGTATGAAAAAGACATTAAGCTACTAAAGGGCATCCAAAAGAGGGCTACAAAGATGGTGAAGAGCCTTATAAGGAGCAGCTGAGGTCATTTGGTTTGTTCAGCCTGGAGAAGATGGAGGGGAGACCCCATTGCAGTCACAACTTCCTTGTGAGGGGAAGAGGAGAGGCAGGCACTGATCTCTTCATTCTTGTCACCAGTGACAAGACCCGAGGGGACAGTATGAAGCAGAATCAGGGGAGGTTTAGGTGCAATATCAGTAAAAATGTTTTCACCCAGAGAGTATTTGGGCACCAGAACAGGCTCCCCAGGGAAGTGGTCTCAGCACCAGACCCAAGAGAGTTCAAGAAGTGTTTGGACAACACTCTCAGGCACATGGTGTGACTGTTGGGGAGTTGTGTGCAGGGCCAGGAGTTGGAGTCAATCATCCTCATGGGTTTCTTCCAACTTGATGTATTTTATGAAGCTTTCCTGCCAGTGCTAAACAGGTGAGCTCAGATAGCATCTCAAGGTTTTGGGTGTTTTTTTCCAAGTATTTCGTTCAAAGGGTCCATGTTGGAAAATGAGATGAAAAAACTATTAGAGGGTCATAAGGATCAATATTTCTTTTCAACATCACAACTTTTTAATTTGGTAATTTGGAAATCTGCAACTCCTTACAGATGGTCAGCATGTAAATGGAGAGTAAGCTTTGGGGTGAGAATACCACTCTGTCTGACTGGATGGTTTTATTTAATTTCTTTTGTTCATTCTTCCATGATTTTAAAAATGCCAGATTTTTCAGATCATTCTATTTGCTTATTCCCCAGTCATTTTTCTTGGCAGAAGAGTTTCCTCTGATTTGTGTCTGCATTTCAAAAGCCAGCAGCTAAGACGAGACCTTTTTTGACTCTTTTTTAACCTCAGTCTTTCATGTCAGCTTTTCTGTAGCTCAACATCTCTATTCTCTATTGCAGCTGCCTTGCATACTACTGTGTCTCCTTTAAAGAAAAGAAAAGAATTCACTTTGAGTTTTGACTCCTCTGCTTTGCAAGATAATTTTCAAGATTTCTGGCTAACGTCCTGATTAAAAAAAATTTATTGTGGAAATTTGGAAAGCAGAGAGTAATTCTTAAGGGATCCTGGTGATCTTGGCTATGACTTTCCTGTCGACTCTCAATGATGTGGAAGACAAGCAGCTCATTCAATGGTGCCAAATGAGCCAGATGCATATCTGGAACAGAAGCCAGCACCTTGACACAAGACATTTTGGTAGCAGGTCTCTTTTTTTTTCTGATACCAAACCCATACATTACTTGTACAGTTTCAGTCACGTTCCCTTCTGTACACTGAGCAGTCACAACTGTACAGAGCTGATGGTGTTATTAATTACTCAGAGATGGTACAAATGCAGGATCTATTAAAGAGATGAGAAATCCCCCTCTCTCTTTCAAAACACAAAATCTCTTCCCCTCAAAAACAATTCTTTGAATTCTTTGCATTCTTGGTAGCTTATCCTGAAAATAATATTAAAACCAGTATTGTTTGAAGCTATTTGGAAAAAGAGATCATGAAAGAGCAAAGCGCTGCCTTGTGAAAAATTTCTGCTAAGTAGCAACATCCTATTAATTAGTAGATTTTCATATTTTGCCCTAATATTGTTCTTAACAGATTCCTGTTTTTACACTGATAAATGGCTTCTATTCATCTACTCAAGTATAAACAGCATGAGAATTCACATGAGTTTTTTCCACATCAGTCCAACTCCTGCCTTATTTTTGTGAATGAGGAATCAAAGTGTTCAGAATTGAAAGCTGGTTCATTCATCAGAAGTTTCAGAAGTGTAGAGGTGGGCAGCAAGTACCAAAAGACGATGCAATCCTCTCACCTCACCAAGTAGCACACTAAGCTCTAAGAGCCTGACCCAAGGGCCTGTGCCCTGCTCATTTCAAGCTTTCAACTTCAAAAATCTCAGAGCTGTAGCTTGTTTTTTATCTGTTCCCCACAGGCAGGCTAGAAAGGAAAGTGATGTGATTTTCTGAATTTATATTGCCATTTCTACTGCTGGCAGGTTCTCTGTGCTCTTTGAGTTGTAGGAGAACCTCAGTTCGTGGTTGGACTTTCTCAGAGAGGAAATGCCTGGAAGCAATTCAGTATTCCCCCTTGTCTCAGGGCAGGAGGAAGGCAGGGCGTGAGGCATCAGCATTGGGCTACATCTGGCTGGTGGCAGGTCACCAGCGGTTGTTCCTCAGGATCAGTTATAGGGCCAGTGCTGTTCAAAATATCTCTCAGGGATCTGGAGGCACAAATTGAATGCCCCATTAGCAAGTTTGCTGATGATATGAAACGGGGAGGTGCTGCTGACTCTCTTGAGGGACAAGAGTCCTTGCAGAGAGATAGAA